AAAGAACATAGAACTCCTTTTTGTACACGGTTGGCTTTATTTTCAGTTTATTCAAAATTGCTGATAGTAGATAGCCGATAGCCGGTTACTAAAATAAAAAATAAAAAATTCAATATAATATAATATACATGTATTCAAAAGTATAATATAAAACAATGATTCTCATAAATTAAAACAAATACACTTACATAAATTGTGGAGTCTATATCTTATAAAGAGAGTCATGTCCTTCTGTCCTTCTCCAGTAAAGTCAGTGTGTGTGTCTGATCTCAGTAGGTGTGGTCTTTTGTATTTATGCATCACATGTGTGAGTGACCACATTTCACATTTGCTTGACTGAACAGTTTTTGTCAATATTTTGTGGATCCCAGAACACCCCCCCCTGGCATTTTGCTCAGGCTGCAGCCCTGATCCTATAGTTACAATGTACTGGTGTAACAGGAAGTTTTGCAGAAAGCATAGCCCATCCTCCTACTCAGAATTACCAAATTAATCAAAGTATCAAAAAGGAAATGAAAGAAACGACTTTACATAATAACATAAAATGTACAAGCATTTCTTATCTAAAACTGGTTCTAGTTTTTAATCTACTGTACTACTGTAGAATTACATGTAAGCTACATATACCAGGTAGTACAGGACCAGGTAGTACAGGCCAGGGTAGGCCCATTGTGTTCAGTAGGCCTACATGTACTAAGTATTGTTCAGCAACTCGTGCTACTGATAGGCCTTCATGTAGGCGACTTTTATTAATGGAGGTGCTTCAGATAGGCTACATGTATACATGTACCTTCTTGGTCTAATTCAGTTGATTATTTTGCTTTTGCTATGTTATACATCAAAGTTATTTTTGTTATTGCGTTTTGTTTTTAATTTTTGCTTTTTTAAAGCATATAATTCTAATTGGTTTATTTAATGGCGTAAATAAATTGCCAGAAATGGACACCGGACGTACATGAACAGTAGGCCTACGTAAACATATCATATTTATGACCATCTACTGACAGTCAAAATCAGCTGATAGCAGGCGTGTTTCCATTTACTCAAGGAATTATATTATCAAGGAATAAATTAAAATTTAAAAAATCCTTGCTTTTCTTCAGTGCGGTAAAAAAATTAAAGATGTCATTTCGGGTCCGGTGATTATGATCTATAACCTATATCCACGATATGTGGACATCAGTAAACTTTTTTACCTTTAAATAACTTTAATTAGCATAAATTGTGTGAACTATTGCCTTAGTCTACCTCGACTTTAAACTGCCTTTACTGTAGGGTGAAATTGGTTTGGGCTTATCTTGTTAAGTTTTCTACTCCGCGTGCTGCCATCTGTAAGTAAATAACCAAAACAGTACACTGCACATGCGTGAAATTCTCTGGCAACCGTGCGTAAATCAAATAGCTTATCGGAGAATTTATTGGAGTACTATATTACTTTGTCATGTGAACGTAAATTAAAATGAGTTTTGGGTAAGTACATACACACCGCTACGCGTAAAGAGAGGGTAAATGGCGAAATATTCCTTTAAATGATGGTAAGGCGCCTTCGTAGCCGGGCACCGTTTACTAACGTCTACATTACACTACGGCCGTGCAGGCTAAATTAAGGCAGCTACAATGTAGGTTAGAGTGTAACTTGTAAGACCATTGATATCGAGAATGTTTATCACTGTATTAAATCTAAGGCCAATCTTCAGCGTAGTTTGAGGCTCACGTTTTTACTTGCATTAACCTGCCTGAATATATCAGCAGCAGATTCTCTCTCTCTCTCTCTCTCTCTCTCTCTCTCTCTCTCTCTCTCTCTCTCTCTCTCTCTCTCTCTCTCTCTCTCAGTAGCACAGGGACTCGTGTCACACAGTTCACTTCCTCTAGCTTTACAACACTGTCTCACAGATGTGTCACATTATCAGTAATAGGGCAATGAGTGCTTTATTAAAACCGTTTTGTCTAAAATCATCTCCAGAGTGGCCACCAGGTTTGAGACCAGTGAACAAGGTGGGAAACCTGCCATATTTTGGCAGCAGCAAGGTAGGGTGAATTTATTGTAGATTTATATTTTTGTTTTATTACTTATTTCATAAAACAATACGAATCATACATATAGTGTCATTATTGGAACTGTAGGAAAAAAGTCCTGATAGTTAGAGATACAAGTACATAATGATTAAAATAATGTTTTATACTACTATCATATGCCTCTTTGGTTACATTTTGGTGTGTATGAGCATTAATGTCCAATGCAACAACATCAACCAAAAACTTCATAAAGACAATTATTATTTTGCTTAACTATTTCATATATTGATTATTATTACTTTTAGGAGCAGCAGCATCTAAGAAACATAAGAAGGTAAATGTCAAGTATTTTATCTTACTATGAGCTATGAGCTAGATATGCATTTGCACAAAGAAACATTTTTTTATCTTCATTGGGAAATATAAGGTGTAATTCAAAAAGATAATTTGATTTTTTGTTTTCAGTTCAGTTACAAGCAAAAAGCACAGCCTTTCCCCCTGAGGTCTAAAGTCCAGATTGAAGAGGATCCCCCACCCCCTGCCCATAAGTTTACACAGAACAAAAAGCATACCCTACCAACCAATGAAAAGGCCGCTTCTAAGAGATCTCAATCGGCCAATAAGAATAAAGCTTCTGAATTGCCTCGACAAAAGTCAACAGAAAATGCCCCAGAGAAGGAGAAACCAGCTCCAGAGAAGACAGCTAAGAAGCAAAATGGTAGACACACAAAAGGTGCTGCTAATTTAAGGGGGAATATGGTCACCCTGACCCAGGACCAGCTCAACGCCATATTGGCCACCATTGGGCAGGTGACACATGGAAGTCAAGTGAAAGTGGACATTGGTAAGACTTTGCATAGAAATAATAACATTTGTAGTGTGATTCTGTATGGGTTTTTAATAATATCACAGGTAATTTATCTTGCTGCCTAAAAGCACTTCAATGTTTATATGTTTTTTTTTCTGGTTTAGCTTGCCAGTCAGTGGCTACACAGCCTGGATACTGATGCCATTCGGAAACGGAATTTGTCGAATTGTAATAGTGGATAATGTATGTTTTAATTAGCCAGTTTTAACTGATAATCAGCCACTTTTAAAAACTGAAGTGAATACTTATATTTAATTCTAGACCCAAACAGCCAAGAACTAAAAATTGACACTGTTGAGGGATCAGATGACCAGAACAGTCAATCAGAACACAAAGATCAGAAAGATGGGCCAGCAGAGACATCTGGTGACGGTAACCAAGGTGACCAGGAGGGCACCTATGTCCCAGGTCTGGGATTGATCAGCTTTCCAAAGCAACCTGCAGAAACAAATCAGCAGACAGTAGAAAGAATTAATGTCAGTAATAAAAATAGGAACTCTGTGTCTGATTCCCAGCAGTTATCAAAGGAGACCGACACAAAGCCTAAAGAAGAGAGTATATATAATATGCTGAAGAAACTTGGTGCTGGTGACAGAGAGAAAAAGGAGGACAAGGAAAACAAGCAAAAGGACAAAAGTGACAGGAAAACAAGGAAGGAGAAGGAGGGTGGTGATAAACAGGACAAACTAAGGTTTGTTATTATGTATGACATAAACTAACCCTGTAAGGATAAATAAAAATGGACTTAATCAAATTATTTTTACATTTTCTGGACAATTCTGTTTTGAATAAGAAAGTAATAGAAAATATAAAATATCATTTTTGCTTCACCAAAGGTAATCCATGTGATATTACAATGGTTGAATGACACAAGCTTGGATTAAGACTTTCCTAAAGCAGGGTTAGACTTGGTTAAAACCTGTCTTACCCTTACCATACATAACATGGTAAAATCCAAGTAATAAAACTGTAATAATTTACCTTTTTTACTATGACAGTAACAAATTAATAAGAGCACCTTCTAAACATTACAGGTCAAACGGAGACCATAAACAAGACAAAGCGGAACCTGAACCAGACAAACAAGCAAAAAAGGAGAAGAAATCTAGAAAAGCATCAACCAAAGCTGACGACTCTGACAACAAAAAAGACCATGTATCTCCAGAAGCTGCTTTTGAGGACAAAGAGTCGGCACAGGATGGGACTGGCGATGTTCCTGCCGTGGCCGTCCTGGAGGCAAAATTCTCCCCGCCTGTCCCCAGAGCTCATATGACCAAGGCAGAGCTGAAGAGACAGCAGTGGGAGGAAGAGAGAAAGGAACTAGAGGCTCTCAGCAGAATGCCCATACATGCCACAGCAGCATCTACTCCAAGAACAGCAGCAGACGACACACGTCATGCAGCACTGCCATCTGGTGGTGAAACACAAAACAATGCTGCACATATTCCCAGGGGTCACATGACCAAAGCAGAACTGAAGAGGGCTCAGTGGGAGCAAGAAAAGAAAGAAGCTAATAAACTCAGTGATTATTATTTTGAGAGCACCCATCCAGCTTCCAAGACAAGAGATGTGAAAGTCGCTCAGTCTGACACAACCCAAATGCCCAAATCAGAACTGAAAAAACAACACCGAGAACAGGAAAAGAAAGAGATTCAGGAAATGAGGTCAAGCAAGACAAGCCAGTCCAAAACCAATGCAGCTGTGCCCTCTACTGGTGATGATGATGCTTATAACCAGGGACAGTATGTACCCGGCCTGGGTTTTGTTCCAACCCTGCCACAGCAACCAGCTGATATAACTCAGAGACAAGTGGATGTGGCTGTGGGGTCAGTCGGTGTCCAGCAGGCAGGGAGTGACCACCAACAGCCAGTCACACTGACCAGTCCACGAGTCTTTCAACCATTATCCAAGGCTGAACTGAAGAGACTGCAGTGGGAGAAGGAAAGAGGTTTGTTGTATCAACTGAAAGATTTTATTTTAATGATATCGGAATTTAGGTGGCTTATTTAGATTTCAGGCAGCCTCTCTTTTATATCACCTTTGTCCTGATAATTTTAATTTTTAAAACTGCTCTAGATATTCCCATCTGATTGTCAAAGATGATATTTGCCACAAGCTCTCTTTATCGTATGTTGGTTACCTAAAAACTACATTTTCTGGCATTAGCCTCTGGTGGAGCTGAACAGAATAATTAAGGTGCAATCTGGTTCGAGGTTGTTTTAAATTCTCTATTTTAGCTGAGCAGGTCCAGGAGTACAGTCCTTGGGGGAAACCAGGAGCAGGTGCCCCTATACGCAGTAACTCTGGCACTGTGCTGACTGACTATCACTCTAGACTGGTGAGTAGAGGCACAATCTGTGACATGCCATTTGGTATACTATATTGTATTTAATTCATCTATATTGTATTATGTAGCATATGGTATACTGTATTATATAATAAGTTATTTTATATGATATGGCATCTATTACTTAAGACAAAATGATCAGATATAACTGATTCTCTATACTTGGGTATTGCTTTGCTTTGCATAATATGAAATGTTTGGAAGTTAATGCATTCCATGTCTCCAAAACCTTAGTGTATAATGTAGTCAATTGTGAACATTTACTTTATTGGTGTTTTGCTTGCTATAAGATGTGTAAAATTGTAAAAGCATAATATGTACTAACACTAAGCTGTTTTAATCCATAATGCAGCATGAAAGCATTATAGTTGATGATGCTTATGACAATGTGAGTCCATGTGTTGGTTGTAGATGTTTTAAAAATCTATTCTAATGAGTTCTCTTTATTAATTTTATACTTTCTACCCAGTTGAATGATTGGAGTTGTGCCCAGTTTAGTTTTCTTCTTTTTGTACTATTCTAAGTTTCATGTGGTAACTTCATAACTTTGTTTTTTTTTTCTTTAAAAAATTAATTTGTATTTTATTTTTTTTCTTTTCATACTTTCCTTATGACCCAATAAACCCTTTATGATGTTATTCCTTAATTTTATTTATCCAAGTCACTATTACATCAATTGTTACATTTATTTGTTATCCCAGACCCATGCTTTCTTTAAAACTCCTTCATGTATAAACAAATTTTTTCAAGTCTCAAAGACTCAGTTAACATTTGATTGGAACAAAAAGAAAAATGCCAACATTGAGTTTGTTAACAAATAATGCTATAGTAGAAAATCTGCTGCTGTGACCTGTCTTATAATGTAATGCCTTTTGTTTAAAACTTGACAGCTTACTTCCCATTGTGTTGACCATAAATCTTTTTTAATATTCTGACTTCACAATATATTTCAGTTTATTATTCTGAATAAGAGCTGTAAAGAAGATTTTTTTAAATGTTTCTTTATGATTTGATATTTGTATTTTAATATGAATTAAGACAAGACAGATATGCTGAAGGAAGGCTTCCTATTTTGCTCAGTAACTTCATTTTTTAACACATTACCAACTTATACAATTTCAACATCTTACAGTGTGGCACATTCAATTAATTTCAGGAGCATGTAATGAGAAGATCACAAGAGGAGGCTGCTTTGAGGAAGTTACAGCAACAACAACAGTCACAGCAACAACAACAACAGTTACAACAACAACAGTTACAGCAGCAACAACAGTTACAACAACAACAACAACAAGTACAACAACTACAAACACAGGCAGCTTCCAATGCTTTTGTTCCTGCAGCAATGAGAAGCAACTTTACACTGACAGTAAGTGCAAGAGGCAGTGTTCCTTTAATCCTTGGTCCATACATATTTACTAGTATAAAAGTCAATGACTGGGTTCCCATGCCCAGATTGATCCATCAGCATCGGTCAAACTCCCTGGAGAGTCTTACTAAATTGCTATCAACTGTACCAGCTTAAATGTCTGTCACGCTCCCGAATCAACTAGGGTCCCAATGAGTCGGTGTAAACCTCAGTGCTCAGATAGTACAGATCAAATGAAATTTAACATTCAATTGGAAATGCAATGTATTTTAGGGTGCAGCTGCTGAAAGTGAGAGGTTTTTGTCTTCTAAGGATGAAGAAAAAAGGAGATGGTTAGAAGAATTAGGTAAGTATTCGGTAAGGCACGGCAAATGATTGTTTTAGCTGTATAGGAGAATATATGTAACACACAGCGTGGCTGTTCAAATTGTTAGATTTATCAGAATCTAAAACAGAAAAAGTGTTTTCTACTTATAAAAATATATGTAATTGTAATCCTACCTAAGGGCATCTGTTGATAGTATGATTCTGCTAACAGTGAACTTTTACCTCTTGGAACTTTCCTAGACAAGCAGAGGACAGAGAAACAGATGCAGAAACAGAGAGAGAAAGAGCAGCGACAGCAAACAGATCAGGATACATGGGCCGACAAACTGAGTCTATACCAGACTGCCCAGCCTTCATTACAGCCCCCTGCAGCTGTCCCTGGGGCAGTGTTAGATGACCTCAGGGCACAGGTGAGTGGCTAACAGGTTGAGAACACCTGTTTCAGATGTGTTTTATCTACTTTTGTACGTAACAGTCATGTTTTATGTTATCATTTATACAAAACAAAAGAATTTTAAAAAAATTTGTGCATGCTTATTTTTCCTTCTTTCATGGACTTTTCTAAATCACTTTCTTTATGTTGTGTCTGATTAAATTAAGGGCCATATCCATATACTTTGCCAAATAGTAGCTAATGTTACCATGTTGTTAATACAGGTGCCAGGTTTGGAGACGGTGACCAGTCCCCGGCAGACAAGTGCCCCCCAGGTGGTTACTGAGAGTGACAGGTGAGGACTGCTTTCATATTTGATATGTGGGTGTGTGTGTGGGTGGGGGGGGGGGGTGTCTAGGGGGTGGTGATTATGCTGCTTTAGACATTATTTTTTGGCAAATGTGAGAGCAGAGTTTGCACAACAAGGGGAATATTTCCATTAGGATTATAATTTATTACATTTGTCAAACTGTTATGTTCAGTTTGAGACTTTCATCATTTACCTTGTGCAGTACATATGATATGAGGTATTTTGTATTGAAATTTGTTGGCATTGTAAGTAAAGTTTGTAGGAACTACCTGAGAACAGAGCAGTTCAGTATAAGAATTAGATTTGACTTGTATGTGAACATTTTATCCAGACCTTACGTTATTGTAATGGTGTGTACTCTTTGCTGTGTTCCTAGGTCCCACGTTCGGGGACAGGGGATGTATGTGGACGAACAGAGAAGGCAGCAAATGGAACAGGAGAGGAAAAGACAGTTAGAACATCAGGTAATTTATTCCTTATCCAATACGTATACAGGGTTAATTATTTTAGACTGATTTTACTGTCCTTTGACTTAAGAGTTGCTTTTAGTTTGATGAGTGGACTCCCAAAACAGTCTGAATGTTACAACCAGAAGAAAGGGTTGAAAATTTGCAGTTTTTCACTTTTCATTGCTTCAGTAGTTTTCTGACCCAAAACCTAATTTAAGGTTACTTGGCAATTGGCATATACTGTATTTGCAATCAAATATTTCACAGGGACATTTATTTGAATTTTTACATCTGTTTTAGCAGGTGCACTTATTTTGTGGGATGCAACTGTATCTCTGCTTAGTAACCCTGTACTTTATTTATTCAGTAAATTTTTAAACTATGAATTAACTGTTATTTATGCCTTTTATCTGCTCTCTCCTCAGCGTTCAATTCAGGCGCAGGTGGAGGAGAAGCAGCGTCTGAAACGAGAGGCCCTGGAGCGCCAGAGGATTGAGGAGGAGGAGGAGGAACGCAGGGTGAAACGGGAGCGAGATTTGATGAATTTACAGTTCCAGCTGGACCAGGAGAAACTGAAGAAAAAAGAGGTGAAACGATAAGACATAATATTGATTTTTTTTTTATATATATTTACGTTATGATATATTCATTTGGCAGATGAAGAACAACAAGAAGAAAAACAATTTTTTTTTTCGAGTTCAATTCATTTGTGTTTAGTTCAATTTATTTCTGTTCTGGTATATAGATTATCGTAGCCTTGTACAGCAAAATATAATAATACAATTGGTGCTAACCATTCTGTACTTAATTGTTATTTGCATTATCAGTATGTAAAAACATAGATATCTTTAAATACTGGTTCAGTTTTAATAAAATATTCTAACTATTTGGTGAAATAAACTTTGGATTGTTTACAGATTACAGTCACAGGAGCTGATTATGTGCATACAGCTGTTTAGCAATTATTTTTTGTCTTTATCTATAGATAACTGACGTAGATTTTTTCTTTCAGAAAGCAGAGGAGGATCGAGTGAGAGAACTGAAACGTGCCATAGATGAAGCCAAGGCTCAGGCAGAGAAGGAGAAGCATGAGAGACGGATGAGGAAACTCCAAAAAGGAGGGCATGATATCTCTAACCTAAATGCAAGTTTTGAAGGTATGTGGAAACTAAGGTCATTCCAGAAGTTATAATAAACATTATTAGTTATTTAATTTAAAAATATGTATTTATTTGTTTTTTTTTTATTTTTTGTTGTTGAATTGTTTGTTTATTGAAAAATAACTGATTTTTACAAATGTTTGCATAATTGTTTCTTTTTTCCAATTAAGTAAATTATTAGCATTTTTGCAGAAAATTATGCATGCTTATATGAGCAGTGTGTATAACCATTAATCTTTATTTCCAACAGCCAAACATTCCCCTAGAACTGAAGTACCCCAGACTCAGGTACCTGGGTTGCCTTCTGAGCCAGTTCCAGGAGGTCCTGTCCCTGCAGCTGCTCCAGTCACCATTCCACCTGCCTTTGTACCAGGGTTAGGGACTGTTTCAGTGCCAGAGGGTGTACCCTCTCAGACTGCTGTTTTGCCTCCCTCCCTTGTTCCAGTAATTGGGCCTGGGGGCACCACAACATATATTGGTGAGTTGCCCATAGCGTAATCATATAAAGAAAAGTACTTATTTTTCTTTATCAGTGACAAATTTAACTTTTTTTGGCTAAGAATTGAAAGTTTACTTATGCAGCTTTACAATAATTTATTTAGCATAAAAATACCTGAGGTTTTCAGGATAATGCCTGATTTCAGAATTTTCAGTTTTTACAACTTTCACCTATACTAACATTAAATGATAGGCAATAGACCAAGTGTGAATGTCTTTGAAACAAAAATATATGAACCTCATATCAGTCAGACATGAGAAATTAAAGAAGTTTAAAGAAGGCATTGTTATTTCTGTGTCCCCCAGCTCTCCCTCAGTCGTTTTCCCAGGCAGTAGTCCAGCCTTATACAGAGAACCGTGTGCTGACCCCTTCCAAGCTGAGGTCAGGTGTGGGGAGAGAGTTTGGCACACAGACAGGTTGGTATTCATAGTACTGAAATGTACTGAAGTATCTGCTGTGAACAGGAGAGGGAGGGAGAATATTTTCTTTAATGTGTCCTCGTGCAGTCAGAAATTTCCAGAGTCATTTTTAATAATATCAGACGATAATTGATAATGGATTGCAGATAATAATATTCTAAATTAAAAATTAATGTACTTATTGAAATTTGATGACACAATGGATAAATTATTGTATTATGGAAACAGCAGTCCTGTTAGACATTATAATTGCTGTTTTGACTAATTTTAGATGAGGGCTTGTCTAGAGAGGAAAGTGTTCAGATTGAGTACAAAGGATCTGCTAAAGAGACCTCAAGGAATCCCAAAAAGACAAAGGCTACAGTTAGAGTGAAAAGTGCCGATACACACCGAGAACCACCAACAGAAGAGACGACAAAGCGTAAAAAGAGGCCACTGAAGGTTGAAGAGAGGCCTGCTTGGGGTGCATCAGGAAAAAGTAAAGCCAAAGTGAAACAGTCTGAACGAGATCCTTTCTTCGAAAAGAGAAAGAAAGCTCGAGAGGCAAAAAAGGCTGAAAGAGCCCAGCAGATACTGAAACTGGTGGAGGCAAATTCTCCCAGGGCGCTGTCTTCAGCGAGGAATCATGCAAGGTCCAAATCGCCCCCTGTTCCTGCTCTCAGGTTAAATGATGGTGCTGAAAGAGGAGGTGCAGCCCATGGGGACCAATCGCAGAAAGGTGCTACATCTCATCGCAAGGAGGAAATTTCCCACAGAGGGCAGGTCAGTAACCGCTCTGTCAGTCCAGCCAGAGGTACCACTCACAGAGACGCGCAAATAAGTCATCAGACTCACAGACCACAGACGTACAGAGCTGAGTCCCCTCCTGTCCCTGCTCTGCGTAACCAACAGAACCAAGGGAGAAAATCGCCACCAGTTCCAGCACTGAAGCACAAGATGGCCGCCGAAGAAAAGAGCCACAGTGAACACCAGCAATCTCATGTAGATATACTGAGGGTTGAAGATTACCAAAATGACTACCACAGTGACGCTTTCAGTTATGACAATTACAAACCAAAAGAGGTTGCCACTGGTGCTCCCGTTCGCACCAAGTATGGTGAAGGGGAGCAGGTGTCCCCCGTCAACAACGCTTCAGACTTTGTTCCCTTCACGAGAACAAGTGAGGTCCTTGACCCTGCACATGCAGAATCCCCGGTGCCCATGTCGCGCGAAGGCACGGAAGCGGAGAAAGCGCGTAAAGCCTATTGGCAGGGGAGGAAGCCAGGCAAGTTTGGACAGCAGCTTGAGAACTACTCTGATAGCCGTATTGTGGAGGAGACCCCCAGCAGGACAGAGAGCAGTGCCAAGGTGGGTGTTATTAGTAGCCCAAATCTGCCACACTTGAGGGCTACCTGTTGAACCTGGTGTCTCAGTCTGTCCCCCATGAGGGCTGTGTGCCAGAAGACTTTGCCCACTAACACAAACTTTTAAATCTATTTGGAATCAGGTCACCAAGTTGTTGGTCTCCTCCAACACATTTCTTTTATTGCGGTGAATGTGTCCTGTCTCAACTAACACAATTTTAAATGAACAAAGTACATTCATCACATTGTTGTCAGAGAACAGGATAATTATGTAATTGGCAGGTGCAGGTAACAGAAATTTCTCCCATAATCTATAAAGTTATATAAGATTTTGCCAAAGACAGCTTAAAGGCTATGATATTGATTTGGACAACCCATCATCATTACCTTTGCTCAAATAGTGAAATTTTTTAAAGAGACTGAAGCAATGATCATGTTAGATTTTACATAGTATTGTGTAACACTGTATGTACATTGTTCCATTTTTTATACTAAATGCAATACTTTACCCCTCATTTATAACTTGTGACTGTATCAAGAACAGTAAGGGCATACTTTATTTCTTTCTTTCCCAGGATCCTATTCTAAACCCCAGTTATGTGAGAGACACTGAATGTATAAATCACAGTAACAGCATACTTTCTTTAATTCCCAGGATCCTATTCTAAACCCCAGCCTTGTGACAGACCATCCCACACAGAGACAGGGGTACATACTGGAACAGTTGAATGGACTCAAAATGGTGAGTTTTCTTCACTCTTGACTTTTAAATGCATTGGGGGGGGGGGGGGTATTAACTTTTCTAAAGAACTCCACTTTTTATAGATGGTCATCCATTTTTATCATAATTTTCATTTTCACAAGTCTACAAACCATATGCTGAGGGGAGGGGATTAAATAATAGGACATTGTGTTTTACATCCAAAACTACTGTAAAAATGTAGCAAAAGAAAAATGGAACATTCAAATCCTAATTTATATGTTCACTAAAAATGACAAAAAAAAAAAAAAAAAATGCCTGAAGTGATGTTTAATATTTGTGCTATGAATCAACTTTTTCAATAAAAATGTGCAAACTCATAGCTTCATGGAACATTTTGATGGGAAATATTTTTTCCCTTTCCCTTAAGGCTTTTTTTACCCAGCTAGTAGGACGCTATTCTCTGAGTAAACAAGTATAATGCTGTTATCCTCATGTACTTTGTTATAAATCTCTCCGCTGGTGTCTCCATTTGTCAGCCGCTACCTCTTACTCTGCTTGGGGAAATATATCCTGCCTTCTCTTAATATTTGGGAAAAATAAATAAGAAAAAGAAAAAAAGAAAAGAAATATCTGTTCTTCACCTACTACTGATGCGCTGCCTTTATTGAAGAACAGATGACTAATTCTTAACACCGAGGGTCCTGACTTAAAAGGATTCCTTCCTGCATGGAGACCACAGTTCACATACATCTCACTGAACACAGTCAGGGGCGGGATGCTTTGATCAGACAGAAGCCATATATTCTGCTCAGAAAGCCTCTTTCTAGTGCCAGAAACAACACATCGAGAACATAAAATTACATAAACCAAACAAAAAAACGTATAAAGCCAGCCATTAGGGTTCAGCAGAGTGCTTGTATAAGTGCTATAAAATTTCAGCTGTTTTGTGGAGGATGGAGATGATGGCGATCTTTTGTTTCTTGTTTGATTTTTTAAAGATGATTTGTTCTTTTTTATAATATTATTATAAAAAAGAACAAATTATCTTTGTTCTTTTTTATAATATTATTATAAGGTATTTAGTAATAAGGTTGGCTCTCTGTCTATTTGTCTGTCTGTTTGTCAGAGGACGCAATATTGTCTTAAAATTTTTGTCAGTTTTCAAACTGGTGAGAATGTTTTCATATTTACATGGAGGTATTATGCAACTGATTCATTTTCAGTGTCATAAGTCAGTTATGAAAGTTGTTGATATTGCAAATATGTTTTTAGTCATTTACAGTGAGATAACATACACATGCATATATTTAAGAGCATCATGTTAAAAAAATATAATAATAAAAAGAAAAAAAGTGAGACAGTCACTTCAATGTGCACATGATTCATACAGTCACAAACTTCTTGTTCATGAAATAAAAAAAGGAATATTAACAGAACTTGACGAGAACCATGAACTTGGTTGACTCTTGATGGCTTTGCACTGAAGAGTTTTGTGTTTATTATGCAATTGATGTGGAAACACCCACCTGGGATGTGCATTAGCGTGGGGAAAGGGATACTAATGGTTGGTTTGGAGGTGTCTGGCAAGATTGTTTAATGCCTTTGTGGTCGCCTTGTCTGCTTTTATAAGGATGTGTGCTTTGGCATTGGGTCAGGTTTGGAAACGTATATATCAAAATATTGTGTAACCCCCCCCCCAAAAAAAAAAAAAAAAAAAATGCCTGGTCCTAAAACATGAGAGCTGAGGAGGAGGGTGGGATAGGAATTACAATGTTCCAAGTTTTCACCTCCCTTAATATTACTGGAGTGAATTGTAGGTTAAAAAAAAATAAAAATGAAGATTGAGTTCAAAATGCAGCTTGATTGGATTCTTTTCCTTAAAGCTGTACAGTTTTGTGAACCTTTTTTTTTTCACATATTTGCATTTTCAGTCTGGTTACTTTGGACTCCCATGGGCCTGAGGCCTTTATGCTTCTTACATTTTCAGAATGTCCATGTTACCTGTAGTATTTACTAATAAAACTGTTGTGATTATGTTTTTCAGCATTTTGGAATATTGCATGAAAATTGACAAAAACAAGTACTTTGTGCACTGCCAATGTTAACACCACAAAAGGAAAAAAATTATTATCCTCAAACTTACAAAATGATTTTTAGGACTAATAAAACACAGCTCGAGTAAGAAAAAACCAGCCTGATAAGTTTCTTTTTCTCTTTTTTCTTTTTTCGACTAATACTCCTGGGTACTTTGAATGGTTGAATTTCATAGCCTGTCTAGCCTTCAGTTCATCTTTGCTTCCTCTGGCATCCCTGGAAGTCTATAACTAAATTTCCATCGCTCAAATACCAATTCATCCCAAAGCAAAGACATTGATTAGGAGATGAGAGTCTGCTAACTTGATTATCAGCCATTTTCAACACAAGTCAATAAATAAAACTGTTCCTTTTAGACTGAAATGAAGTGCATGCTTTGTTGATTAGGGCCACATTAGGCAGACTGGAACGAAAAAAAAAGAAAACAGAAAAAATAAAACAGGCAACTGGTTCTCTGTAAGTCTGGGGATGTACTAGTATGTGTCAGACATAGTTGAATTGAGTTAAGAAACAAGAAAAATGTTCTATTCTCAACTGGTATTTCTTTTCCATTTGATAAATCTTGTTTTGGGCTGTGCAGTGTATGTTTGGTAAAAGTTTGTTAATCAATTTATAGACTGCTAAGATTGGTGTTGTAATCCCATTTTAGTCACATCAGTGTTATTTAAATTTTACCATTTCTTTTACCATTATGAGCTAAGATTTTAAAAGTTTAACCTTTTTTAGTTTGCCAAAAAATTTTGTCATTAGATGATATGAATATGATGATTGGGTAAACTTTGGAATAAGGGGACACATTTTTTTTTATTTTCCATATTAAAAATACTTAAATACTTATTGAGAGTGTCCCGGTGGTGCCTGTAGACTGCATTGTTTGTCTTCCTGATTACAAGTTGGCAGTTTTCCCATCATGGCTTGGATGACGTTCTCTCTGATCACAGGCTAATGAATTGATCGACCACAGCTGAAATGGGTCCAAAGCATTTTCTGCCTCATTTAACTCAATTACCAGGAGTTACTTGGAAGTGTATTCAAAACTTGTTTCACCTAAACCAAAGAACAAGTAACTGATGGCACCAGACAGCTTTACACTGAGTAAAAAGTCAAGAATTCTAAGGTGTGATGAGAATCTCAATGAGGCCCTGTGTGAGCTGTTTGTAGGGTGGCATCTGTCAGGCTGTATAGGGTTTGAGTTAGACCAGTTGGAAATGCGGCACACTCCAGAAGCAGGTGTTAATTATTTGAGAGTGAAGTCATCCTGTTCATGCTTAAAAGTTGTCAGCAAGTTGCAAGCTATTTTGACCCTTCCCCAATAAAAGAGAGAAAAAAAAAAAAAAACAACAAGACAATTAAACAAAAAAACTCACAAATTAATAAACATGTTTACATTGTGTATTTATACATTTAAACAGTTCATTAGAAAAAAAATATTGAAAAGCAGAGTTTGTTAAAAATAGTAATTGGGGACAAATTTAATCACCGTGGCCTATGTAGCAGTGTTAATGACCAGTTTTTTTATCTCCATTGCAGGGTCTTCTTCAGAGACAGCGTGAGATCGAGTCCTATCTACCCACAAGTCAGTTACAGCGCCAGGACTACGATGTCAGAGATCAGAACTACTAACCAGGAAAAATAGACTGGTAACTGCATGCAATTTCCTGTTTTAGTGAAAAGATCTGATCTGTGAACGTATCTAGGTTATTCATCGCATGATAGTCACTTGACTGGTTATGTGATCACCCGTGATCAGATTTCTGTCAGTGTGTATAATAAACATTACCAGAGAGAGTAGTTTTTACCTTAACCAAACAACTCAAAAATTGCCAGAACTGTGCAAAAAGCCAAAAGCCTTAACGCAACATTGACAGCTTTAACAGTTTTACACCTTGGACTCATGGTCATGTTGACCAGCCTTGACACTAGGTTGTCAGCCTTGACACTAGGTTGTCAGCATTGACATTAGGTTGTCAGCATTGACACTAGGTTGTCAGCCTTGACACTAGGTTGTCATCCTTGAAACCAAAGTTCAGTTGCCATTACAACAACTCCACTGATAGATACTGTGTGTAAAGTGAACTATGAAAACTGCTGCATTTATTGTGATATTATTTGCATCTAGAAAGCTTGATGAATGGTGAAATACTGATTAGAAACCATGTGTGTTTATACATTGTAAAGTTATGTTAAATTTAATGGGAGTTGTATATATCTGGTATTTCCTATATATATATTTTAGTTTTATAAAGATAATTATTAAAATTATATTTGTAATGTTGTGTATTTATTTTTTAATTCTGTGTATATATATTTGTAAATGGCAACTTAGAGTGTTTGTAGTAAGATATATGCAATTGTGTTAAAATACGGGTCTGTTAGGACAACATTTGACAGTATTTCCCCCACTTAAGATCTTAAAGTCTATCCACGACCGTGCCTAGGAGGCACGACCGTGCCTAGGAGGAGAATCCAGCTGGAAACGTGTGGAAGAATTAAAAAGAATAGATGAAAAATACCCGTTAGTTAAATGTTGGTCGTACTCATAAAGTTGTTTTTTTTTATTATTTTTTATTTTTGGGAGTGATGTGTACTGATGTTTGACCTTCACGCTAATGGCAAAAAAGGTAATTTATTAGTTAAATTTATATTTCTTTTTCCAGTGTATAAAAGATGTAATTGTGTAATATATGTAATATATATTTTTATTACTAAATTATTAAAACTATGAATCTGAGCAGTGTAGTTATTTTCCAGTTTATGGTCATACATTATTTGTAAAAAGATTTCAAGATATTATTTATTTACATGAAATTAATTGCCTCTTTCCCGATGTATAATGGTATTTCTAAAACTTGATAAATGTAAAATGTTCCCATATTAATTTTTTGCATGTTTTGCTATGCTATACTAACTGAAAACCATCTAATTATTCATTGTCATTGTCATATTGGATGCTTTTTGGTGCTGTTTTGTACTTCATAATGCAGAATATTACCCACCAACTACAGATAATAAATCAGTGAAAGTACTGAAGTATATTGAAACCTTGCCCTTTGTATTTGTTATTTATCCCATCATAGATAAACAATGTACTATTGTGTTTACACAAATGTGTAGATAAATTTGTATAATTCCTTTGAGATATCAATGCGACACTCGATTCCTTATTGCCTTCAGAAGCAAAATTCACACATACATTTTTTTTTCAATTTTTTTCCTTGAAAAAGGGCCCTCTTTTCAGTTCTGACACACTCCCCATTTCTGTTAACTAGTTTACCTTGCCAATTCAGTTAGGAGGTAATAAGGCAGTAGTCCTGCTTTCCCCCTTCATTAGCCAAGTCACACTGCAACTGTCACTGTAAATTAGACCCCGATCCAGCTGTTGTCAAAACCAAACACTAAAGAACTAATTCTTCACTCAGTGGCAGTGTGCACTCTTAGAAAAAACATAATTACAGTGCTGAAATTTAAGCTTGTTTGCAAGTGCCATTAGGGCAAATTGAGAGGGGTATGGGGTACCATTTGAGGATGATGGTTTTGGTAACAGGGGTGTCAAATGTTCCGTGACAATCGGAAAGATTGAGTAAGTGGTGAAATGTCGTAAATGTCATCATTTTAGACACGGAATACATAGCAATGAGGTTATCTGTTGAAAGATTTTCATTGGCATAAATAGAATTAGTAAGCAAGGCAAGTTTCTATTCAATACGTGTTGAGATTGAAATCTTTGAAAAAAAGTTAAAATGATTAATTATAAACAAGATGATTCAAGATTTCTTTAGAAATACCATTAATTCCTTTTAATTTGAAAAGAACATCCAAGACTCCCACAGAAAAACACAATTTTGTCCTGTTTATGAAACAACAAGATCCTCATGGACGCCACACTGACTAGAAGCTGTGTGAGGAAATATTTTGTAAAATGGAGACCAAATTAACACCATCGGCTACTAATTCCACTGTTGAAATTAGTCCAGAAGCCCAGAAGGCAGGGTCGGTTGAAGATCTCTAGATTAGTGCAGGACAAATGCCCCTTTGCTCGTGGAGTATTTGTCAAAGATAAAGCAAATATTGATTTTGGTTTTAAATTTTTGGCTGAATTTTAACAAGCAATAAAGATGTTTGGTTGGTCATTTTTGATACCAGCAAAGAGGATATGGTTATTAGTATGAGCATATCCATTTCTTGACCCCATGTAATTCTGCTGGTTATCCAAGTTGGCAGAAGAAAAGGTGTTAACATTATTCATTGGTAACTGCTTCTTATGCACAGTAGACAATTAATTGCTGGATACCTTCCATTTTACAGTAAATAAAATAAGAACTTAGTGGATGCTTTGATAATGTGATCATCTCGTCAGAATAGTTCACTACAAGTGCCCACAAGAAAATCACTTTTGGCTAACTAGCTTTAAAGAAATGCATTATCAAATTATGTTAGAGATGACATTGTCTGATATTTTAAGACATGCTTGAAATTTTCCCATATCCGATGGGTGTGTTCTTATCCGAGTTTCTTACAATTCAATATTTTGTGTCACTTGTCAGTTTAGATAACAATTATAGATCTGCCACTGGGAATTTGTCATTGTTTTCTGTTAAATGAAAACTGATGTTCATGTTTGTGTTGGTGTGTCCTGTGGAACCAAATTAATTTTTCCAGCAACCCGAGCATTCTGATATTGACCCCCCAGTATGTCAAGAAGTTCATAGAAGGTTACGGTATATATAACACTCAAGAAATAAAAAAAAAAAATGGTCACTTAAAAGCACTGAAAGGGATTTGGGTTTAAAACAATAGGTGTGAAACCCTGAGTTTCAGAGTGCTGAAAATGGGTTTGCATAGAAAATAATTATGCTTGAGGTCTTGGTTTCAGCCGTTGCGCTTCTCTTTGAGGAAAGTTCGATATTCCAAAGATTCGCTATGACAAAAGTTTGCTAATAGTATGCTGAAGGTCCAGCATGACAAAAGTTCAAAGTGGAGTCAGCTTAATCAGCACATGATAGCTTTAAGTAACACCTAGCTGCTCCAGGTGGAGTGTCAGACAATGAAGCTGATTCCACAAATTCACTTATTTAGGGAGAGTCCCCTGCAGAGGTGGACCAACCCAGCTTGCACGATGTGTGAATCTCAATGTCATTTAGGATTTCTTTAAAACTGGCCATGAATATTCTCATCATTGTGCACAAAATTTTAAAAAATTAAAGGGATAATAACTCTTCGTATTAGATCTATATTTCACAATAAAAACATTATAAACAACTCATGGAAATATAATATATTCTGTTTTACCACAAAAAACAGCAGTTATAGCTATTATTCTGATATCTGAGCTTGTCATCGGATTACGTGACCTCCATAGATGGCTATACTCTGTTAAAATCTCTTAAGAGTTTATAACAAAAAAAAAAACTTTTTAGAAAAAAAACCAGGGACTAACTTAAAATATAGAAATGGATTCATTAACCATTGGTAAGTATGAGAAAATTGTTGATTACTCCAGGAAAGTTCTTTTTTTGGCCAAAACAAACAGTTATTATCCCTTTAAACCTGAAAATTTATATCAGCTAAAAGTACATTGATTCAAGCTCAAAGAGAGATGGTAAGACTTTTCTGGTATAAAGGAGCACCGTTTAGAGCTGTGACTCCCAGGGTGAGGGCGATGAGCCCAGGTCAACCCCCAGCTAATTCAACCCTTATTACCAGCCTGTCTTCTTTGCCAAATTTCTTGCACAGACCTTCTCTTTTATGCCAGAAACATTCTCAAAATACACCGTCTCACAGCAGCTTGGGTGTTAACAAAATGAATTAATTTTGGCATTTTTGAATCTCAACAGATTTGGCACCTAATAGCATCTAGTATTGTTGGGACGCAGTTGTTTCCATTTTTTATCATAACCTCGGATCATTTGAACCAAATTTGAGACCGCTCTGTTGTGGTGTCTCTGGGTGGCAGCTATTTTTGAAAAAATTGTCAAGTTAAAACCCTCGTGAATAAAACTTTTCGACTTGAATTGACACGTGTCATGCAAAGTTTCCAATGTAGAATTGTCTGTAATTTGGTCTATGAGACATTAACAAAACCTGTTTTCACAAGGATAATGATCCTGCTAAGGAAAGTTTGCAGTATATAGTCTGAAACCCCAGTAGATTTGCTTCTCCCGAGTTGCAGTCTGTGCCAATATTTTGCCACAAAAATGTCTGATTTGCACTTAAATTGAGGAACTTATATTGTGATTGATGGACAAAATTGCGATTAAGTGGAAAAGGGAATAAGATAACATCAGTAATAAGTTGAACTGAAGCTTTCTGCAGAGTAACAGTTTTGGTTCCCAAGCTTTTCCTTCCCAGCATGCCCTCTGGCTGAGTTCAATAAAAAAAATTGTTTGTCTGACTCATCCTTTTTTTACAAGATTTGTTTCATCAGGTCCATCGTGAATTATCCTTATAATGTGAAAATATACAATATTTTTTCACAGGCATGCCATCTTATTAGAATAAACAAGTTTACTTGCTCCACCATTTTAAGTTCCTTACTTGAACTGAACTTAAATTAACAAATTCAAATTTGATTGTTACTATGGATAGTTACTAGGTAATTGATTTATAAGCAAATGCGAAATGGTTTTCTTTGGTTGGTTTTTTTAAAGTACATTCTCTCTTGGCATTTTTTTTTATCACCATATTATATTTTTATTAGGAACATTTCTCAAATAAAAATCACTTTATGCTTCCTCAGCTATTATCTGTGATATTTTGATGAATAGAAGGCATTTTTATGCTTAATTTCCTCAATATACAACCATTTCATATCAATTTGGTGGAATAACATTTTGAACTTTGTCCTTTCCAGTCTTGCTATATTGTTAAGATTTATTACATTATTATGTTACATGAAAAGTGGAGGTCTTATAAGTATATGACAAGTGTGCAGTGTAAGAAGTAACAATCGCGAACTACTTAAGTAACCAATAAATCTTATTACCAGACTTGTGAAATGTTGATGCATTTTGCAGGCAGCCTTAAAGAAGTAATTCCTTTAAAGCCTCTATTCACATTGTCAAATCTTAATTGGTGCCGAAGCTGAAGCCTTGTTGTCATCATTGTAGGCTTTGAAACGTTACCAGCTCAGCAGGAGGTCCCATGTACTCACTGTAATATTCATTTGGACTGGTGCTGAGCTTACAACTTGATCATTATTGTAGACTGTGGTGTCAGTTTTAATCCTCCGAAAAAAAAATTTTATTCAGTTTTTATAAAGTGCTTGTGGCTCTACCAGTTATATTGCCTGCGATAACTATGCCTGTTGCTTTATTGTCTATTTAATTTATAGGAAATGGTTATGTTCTTACGCATAAAGACATGATATTTCTTCAAATTAAAATTGGAAATTCATTTTTCGTGGTGGTTTTCCGTTTTAGGGGACCCTCAGACCTAGTCCCAGAGACTTTTTTCATTTAATCTAAAATCACGTCTGCGTGTTAAATAAGTGTTATATATATTGGTAAACATAAATTATCTTTTTTTTTTAGTAAATTCTGATTTATAAATTTTTTTTTTTTTTTTTTTTTTTTTTTTTTTTTTGCTGCACTGCAATTTTAAGTTTTAAAAAGCATTTATGTGCAATTGATTTTTAAGCTATTGGTGGAACTAAACTGTCACTACTACTCAATTTCACATCTAATTTTACACAAGCAGATTTCTCTTTTGATACCACCCCTGTTACTGTAACACATTTATGTGGCCAGCACGCCCCCAAATGAAGCACTCTCATCAAGTTGCTGTTTCCTGACACATTTGATTCCCTGCAGACAAAGTGTGCATAGAGCTGTTCTTTCTTCTTTGGGGATGTGTATGCTCAACCCCTGTGCCAGTTACTTCTAGGGGAGAAAAAGAGGATAAAAATGTATCTCATTTGATTGAACTGTAGAATATGACTACTATATTCAATAGTACTTTCCATCTTTTATTTTAAATATTTCCAAATTACAGATAGTTTTGCAATGTGTTTGAAACATGAATAAGAGGGACTATTCCACCTGACATTTATATTCATAATGCTGGAAGTTTTGAAGGTGTGCTTTTATCATCATGAAACAGTCTTTTCATAAAGTTTCCTTTGTGGCTCCCCATTAAAATAAGATGCTAGTACCTTGTTCAAATCCCAAACAAAAGCCAGCAAGAGGATCAGGAGAACTCAGTTGCTCCAGTGACGCTTCAGCTGACAGGTGGCAGAACACAGGTAAAACTGAATTTGCCAGAGGACAGAAATGTTTCAATTTAACAGGTGGTGGTGACAAAGGACTGCAGTCAACAGGGTCACCGGGAGTTTGGTTTCCTGAAAGCAGAACAAGATCTGGGAAAGGGGGCTGTGTGGTTGACTAGATATAGGAGCTTGGATCCAAGAGGTACTGAATGTTCATTGTTAACTCATTTTGATGGCAATGTTCAGGGTACCCATTTAGTTGGAGGTTGGAAACGGCAAACGATCAGTAGCACTTCGTAAGATATTTGACATTGTTTTGTTTTTGCAAAATTATAGATCCAATAGAACATATCGTAACGCTTTCATCTGCATAGAAATAATTGTGTTTTAGCATTTATTAATGAAATACCATGTTAGCGATCCTTGTGTTCTTTGAAGGTATCTTTAATTGCCAAAAATATAGATCTGTCTGATGTTTTGTCTAAATCTGTTATTTTTGTAATTATTTTCATTTTTATATGATAATTTCATGTTTTTTTTTAAATTTACCAGACCTTTAAACCATGATACATTTATATTGTAACTATGCCGTTTGCTGTTGTTTTTTTTAAATATATAAAAAAGATTTATTTTTAATCATGTTCATGGGCTCTTATTTGAAAATTAATGGCACTATTTAAAATTGGCATGAAGGTTATGTACGTGCATGATAATTGGTAATTGATAGTGCCCAATGAATAACGACCATGTTTTAGTACGAAAAAGAAAAAGTGCCTTCTTTTGAATCTTATTTTCATTTCAGCACCATATACCCTCACTTTTGGACAGCCCTGAAAGGATTAAGTGCTGGATTTCACTGTAAATCCCAAGCTGTTGGCAGGTAGACTGAAGTCTGTGTGCCGTCGGTGTTGGTAAAGCTTTGTAATACTCTTGTCAGTCACACATAAAAGGAGATTACCCTTGTGGTTTTATCACCACTTTACAAGAGCTAGCACTGTATTTATAGTTTTCAATTGTAAATAATAAATCACAGCCCCACGCTATTACCTATTGCCTGCCATTGAGAACAAGCAAGTGTATATACTAACAACAACACACAGGATTCAAGCTGTGCTTTCTCCTTGGACAGACAGGTAGACTGCGGTCTTCATCTTTATCTTTAAGGGATTTGTTTCTTTTTTCTCAACCAGGTAAATACAAGATTTAAATCAAAGGAGAACTTGCCATCTTAGCCGAGAATAATCTGACTGAATCAAAATTCAACACTCGTATGTCAATAGAAAGAAATATTGATCAGGAGTCGGGATATCTGTATGTATGTGTGCGGTGAGAGTGTTGACTCAGTGACAACAGATAATACACAATCTTATTCACTTTGCTGGTCATCCTTCCTGTGATCACAGAAAGAACAATCAATTTCCTCAAAGGTGAAGTGGAAACTGATACTCTCGGGGGGATCAGTTGTTATCGATACCAAAGATCTTGATTTGGAAAGTAATCCTAGGAGTTTTCTCAGTGGAGCAGTGGAGTTAAAGCAGCATTCCTGGTCGTTCTCCTTCTAGAAGAACTCTGTGGGAGGGTTTAATAGATCTTTAGCAGTTTAGCCAACTGGAGATTTCAACTATAGGAGGATTTCCAGAACCTTCCATCTCTCTTTTACTCAAGAGATCACCCAAAGAGGGATATCTTGACATTTGCACCAACATATGGAATCCAGTTTATAAACAGGTATATTAATTTCCTGGTAACATCAGTTATATGATATTACCCTTGCTACTAAGGATACCCTGAGGAGAAATCCAGATCAGTGAAGGAAGGGGATTTTGGAAAAAGGAAACAGCTAGGATCACTTTCTCTCGTTGATGAATGACTGCTGGTGATCACCCTGCTAATCAGGTGGAGATAGGAGTATATCGAATTCCGCTTAGACATCTCCTGTGTCATTAGATTGCATATCGCTTGGTCAGATACTTTGGTGGAGATTGGTCAGTTTGACTGGACAATACAGCAATGTGGAGGGAGCTTATTGTATTGTGTTTGATGGCCAGTTGTCTAGAGACAGGTAAATATGCAAATTTTTCTTTATTTTAATTCTCTTCTCAATTCTTTAACACTTCAATTTGTAATTCTTTTTTTTTTATTAATCTTGGTAGTATTAGCAAAGTGTTTTTTTATATTAACTAAAGTAAACAGAATCCCATGAGGGTCATTGGGGAAGATATCTTTTATATCTGCCAAGCTCCTACCCTCAGCAAATAAAGTTTCATTACTACAGTACTGTAACTTTAACTCCATGTGCACATGTACTAGCTAGTATTAAATTATTACCAACTATCAAGAAATTGTACATGTTGATTGGCTTTGAATTTTTTTTTTACATATTTTCCTATTAAATGTAACATAAACCCTTTTTGCACAGGCTACAGGCATCTGATTGAGAAGAAACAAAGATAAAGTTATGTAGCATGATTTCACCATAGCTGAAAGTTTAATGCACCATCAAAAAGTCAATCAGCTGCATGGAAAATTGAATGCTAACAGGGCATAATTGGATTATAGATAATGTACTTGGATTGCCTCAATTATTTTGTTGTTATGGTTACACTGTTTTGTATAACATTACGGAACATTTAATAGTCCAGGAAATTTATTCATTTATTAGGATATTTAACATAAAATGATGATAAGCACATTAAGAAGAATAAGAACAAAACAATTGGCCTTTTTAAAACTAAATGTGTTACTCATGATTTAAGAATTTTAAATAGAGAAAATACCCAGTGCAGATAACAATTAGGCCTCTCAGATTAAAAAAAAACATTGGAATTTTAAGCAAAAATTAACTGGAAAGGTGCCGTTTGCAGGTGCTCTGAACCCACGCGACCCTTGTGTCAGTACAGTGTCACCTCTGCAGGTTAATCTCCATAATCTCTTCCCAAGAGCTTCAGGTGACATCTTTGTTACTCTGTAGCAACAAATAAGCCTGATTTATCAGGTGTATAATTCCTCCACTTTTCCTCTCAGAGCAAACATATTTGCTGATAAGCAAGTATAGGTGCGATCTTGCTTTGAGATTGCGTGCCTATCATGAGCTAGTTCAAATACTAATACTGCATGGGTAAATAGTCTTTAAGTGTTTTCACATACCTGTAGCACTGGAAGACATTTCTTTTTTTTTTTTTTTTCATTTCAGCTGAAATGACTTAAAGTCTCTTGTAAATCTTTAGATCATATTAGTAGATCTGTCACAGTTGGGTGCTTTTTTTACTCTATTTTTTTTTTTTTTTTTGCACTTTTTTCTTGTTAAATCTATCCTTGTTTACACTCTATTTTTAACACAACAAATCCTCATGGGCTGAAGTAGACCTTTACTTAAATAGTTTTAAATGCTACCATTTGATAAGTTTTATAAGTATATACTATAGATCCTTTAAATTTACTGCCAATTAAGCTACATTTGCATTTTTCATTATACACCAGTAGATGTTTCAGTGATCACTTACATACAATGTTGTTTGACCCAGAGTCAATTTACCATTCACTCATGATACATATTTTATTATCTTATCTTTTTGAATTGTACTCCTTGCTGGAGTCTGATCTTTCTTTACTAGTAATTGTGTATGTGGCAGATATAGAGTGTGAAGTTGTCAGTCTCCTTTTTTCCAAGACAACGTGATCAATTTTGCCCCACCTCTTATCAAAATGGATGAAAGGATTTGAGGCCCTGCATCAATGCTGCTTAAATCTCCATAGCAGGGAGAGCTGGGCAGAGCTGTTAGGGGGGCTCAAATGAACCCCCCCCCCCCACGCCCACCCCACCCCCCTTTCCTGTATTAAAATGAAATTGGATTCACCAGACTGAGTGCTGTATATACTTCATTAGCTTTGAAATAAATTTAGTAAATTGAATTCTGAATTTCTTCTGTATGCTCACTCTATTATAGTTTGTAATTAGAAGATGCTTCCACAATTTGTTGACATTTGACCAAGCTCTTTTTACCAGCAGGGAATTTTGAGAAAATGATTGAAAAGAATTTGCTCAAGGTAGAAAATAGGTGGTATTTGCAGCTTTCAGGAAAAGGTAATAGCTGTTACAGGAATTGGACTAGACACTCTAAAAATAGGGCCAAAATTTGTGGGAGAATTTTATGAAGATCCTTGGTAAAATTTGCTAACTGATGATAAATGATGAACCACCCCATGCAGTAATACATGAAAAGGAATATTTGTGCATCTCCTTTTGCAAGATGTCTCAGTGTTCATACGGTAATGGCTCTGTCTTTTCAATGGAAAAAGTGTGGATTTTACAGATTCTTTATTTTTTTACGTCATAAGTTAAACAAAAAAATTAAAGCATTACTATTGAGTGTTACAGTAGCATCAAAATAGAAATATAGGCTACCATAATAGTTCTATTCTATGCAGTAAAGGCACCAGAAATGCTATATGCTAAGTATAATTTTTTTTGTGGTTCCAAAATTATGTGTATAAAAAGTTGATTGTTTTTTGCCCAATGAAAAGACCGAGCTGTTACTGTAGTTTTTTCACCCTGAGTTTCAGAGGAAATTCACCTCTATTATCAGCAATAAAAACAAAAAATATACTAACATGTATAATAGGTCACCATTTTAAGTTTTCAGTAACTGCTGATCCTCAGGGTGAACATACCGAAATCTGTTTATTTATTAAACTTTATGTATTGAGGGTAAAGACAAATGGTAAATATAAAACTTATCTTCCCTGGTATGGCCCACGTTATCTCCCCTGTCACCGTCACATTCTAGACATGACGGAAATTCTTCTGGTCTCATCTAGATTTGGAGAGAGAACTTCTAAAAAGTTAGGTGTGTACATTGTGGTTTGTTTTGAAATTAATTTTTGCTAGTTGAGTATTTTGATTCAGTGGTCAGAATTTTACTTGCCAGCACTATCGTAGCTGGCACTGGTGAGAGTTTTTCTTGCTGGCACCAACTGGATATTAATTAATTGTCTCACTTCACTACACACTGTCACACATTTTCATATTCTCTAGATAGCTGTCTGTGGAAGTGAAATTGTCTATACCAGTAATAATGTTAAGTGCACTTATCCAAAATAATCTGGCTAATTGTGCATGACTGATATTTTTTGTGTGAAATATTGATCGCGACAGGAAGTGGAGTTGGGATTCTTGCTAGTGTGCGTCATTTAGCAATTTTCTGCTCATGATTGCAAGATGAGGCATTAATATTTTGTACAAACTATTTTTTTATATGACTTGATATCTTTGTACTTATACGATCTTCATTATTAAAAATTAATATTATCTATTAGAAAAAAGAAAGAAATTCCTTAAAAGACCTTATAAATCTTTCAAACATTTATCTAGAATTCACTATCATCCAGTCACAGGTGCTGATTGATATCTTAATACACTTGTACTCTCTTCATTATTAAAAAAAAAAAATCAATATTAACTATTAGAAAAAGTAAGAAATTCTTATTCCTCGTTCAAACATTTGTCTAAAATTCGCTGTCATCATTCAGTTACAGGTGCTGATTATTACTGTTTCCGCCGCTATGTGACCAAGGTTTCAGGATGTAAAGGTATCGTACGCAGGAAGTATCCCACCCCACAGCACTGCTGTGCCAGAAGTAATGCAGATGGCTACGCAGTGGCTCTGGTGAGCTATTATTATATTACTAGTAATACGTTTTTGATCCAAAGAATAAAACCCACCATTTTGCCGTTGTATACTAGTTACATGTTATAAATTTAAACTTTTATGTTTTTGACTGAAAAAGTAATTTATTTTATCATTCTTGTTGACTCATGTTTTTATAGTCTTTTACTGTAACAGTTATACACATTCCTATTGTTTTAAGTTGAATGAAATAAATACTACAGTATTTTCATCATTGTCAGCTAGATTGTATTAATTTTAAAACTGGTTCAATGCTAAATATTTGTCCATTTCAGTCTGTTATGATACCAATACACAAATTTATGTTATAATAATTGCAAATGTAAAAGAACAATTATATGAGTTGAAATGCATTCAGTAATTGGACTTTGCCTTTTGTAAAGCATTTTATTTTCAAAGTCATTTTACTGACATTCTGTATTTTCTTTCCATTTCAGGTCTCGCTTGGGAAGAAGTTTTATGAATGCAGAAAATGCAGTGATTTGACAAAGACCACCCCAGCAAAACCCCCGCTACATAAGATGGGAGGTAAATAAATGAAAAACACACCACTGTACTGCTGCTACTACTGCTGTTGTTACTGCTGTAACAGTAACTACAAACACTGTGAAATCATAAAAATGATGACAATGATTAATATATGATGGTATAAAGGTAAAATATTTTTGATATAAAACAAAATATCACTATCTGAAATACAATGTACAGTGAAGTTGATAGCCATACCATCATAATTTGTTGTTGAGAGATGATTTTTTTTATACTTTAAAATCTGTTAGTTTTAATACATTTTACATTACAAAAGCTTTCCAACATTAAAATATAACATCAAACAAAGCATTTCAGAAGTTTGAAGAAGGAGCAGTTTTAACATTTTTGGGGTTGGGTTATATTTTTTTTTCTTTTTTTTTTTTTTTTTTTTNTAAAATCTGTTAGTTTTAATACATTTTACATTACAAAAGCTTTCCAACATTAAAATATAACATCAAACAAAGCATTTCAGAAGTTTGAAGAAGGAGCAGTTTTAACATTTTTGGGGTTGGGTTATATTTTTTTTCTCTGTTTTTTTTTTTTTTTTTTTGTTTTTTTTTGGCATGTAAATTTAATTTATTTGTGTTGTGTTGGAAACTCTTGCCATATGCACTTATATGGCGTATGAAAACACTTTTTGACATACTTTAAAATGATCCAACCTTTCAAACTAGGATGAGGAAACACTTAACTCCTCTACATCTTCTGTGGTAGTACATGTATGTAACTGATCACAAGTCAACCTAGCTACTTGGCTACACAAGTGCTTTGTACATACCATTCCAGGTTACCATTATTTTCATATTTTTAGAATGGGCCAAATGGGGAGAGTGGGGCAAGTGCAGTAAGTCTTGTGGAGCTGGAGCCAAGCAGAGAACACGGCTATGTCCTGCAGGTGGCTGCCCCGGCACTCCAGACCAGATGAGACCTTGTATGGACAGACAGTATTGTCCAGGTCAGTATGGGGTATTGTCCAGGTTAGTATGGACAGACAGTATTGTCCAGAATAGTATAGACAGACAGTATTGTCCAGAATAGTATAGACAGACAGTATTGTCAAGGTTAGTATGGGAAGACAGTATTGTCCCGGTTAGTATGGACAGGTAGTATTGTCCCGGTTAGTATGGACAGGCAGTATTGTCCAGGTTAGTATGGACAGACAGCATTGTCCAGTCAGTATGGACAGGAAGTATTGATTTGTCCCCTGGGAGCTTTTCCACTTTGTTTCGAGTGCAATAGAATGTACTAAAAAGTATATTATCCCCTAGCTGCTCAAGGAGGCATGCTATTCAATTAATCTAATTGCATTCAGCAAGAGTGTCAGCAGAGTTGGATCAATTTACCTAGTTTGATAGTTTCATTGGGGACACACCCATAGGCCCTACATGTTTTATTCCAGTTGATGGAGGTTTTGGTCCTTGGCATCCCTGGGAGTCCTGCTCTGCTAGCTGTAATGGTGGAATTCAGAGAAGACAGAGGTTCTGTAACAGCCCCAGGCCGGAGCATGGAGGCAAGGACTGCGTGGGTAACACTACACAGAGTCAAGTCTGTAAGACACAGCCTTGTCCAGGTAGGACATGTTGGGTTCAAAACAGGCATGCGTGTGTGTGTGCATGTTGTTTGTGCATGTGCATTGTTTCTGGACTGTTTGAGATACCTGTATTCATGAATTATCTTTAAGATTCAACTTCCTATTGGCAATAAATAAATTAATAAATAAGAAAGAAGGAAAATAAATGGAATCCATAATTGAAACTCTCCTAGGTGCCTTGATAATATAAAAGATTTAGAATTTCACAGCAAAAATGCACATTATCTGTCCAAGCAACCTTTCCCAAGAAAATAAACCATGATTTGTTTACATTCTATCACTGTGTCATTGCTTCAGTTGATGGTGGTTGGGGTGCCTGGTCAGGCTACAGCACCTGCAGTAAGACGTGTGGTAATGGCAGACTAGTACGAAGCCGAGAGTGCAACAACCCAGCGCCACAACATGGCGGCCAGGAATGTACAGGGATGCACAAACAAAAGAAACGATGCACACTTAAGAAGTGCCCAAGTAGGTGATCACAGAATTATTAACTTCAAACTGAATAATGTTTATGATTATACAGTCATATAATAAATTAGTTAAATTAATTTTTAATGTGTCTCTTTTCTGAGCTACCCCATAAATTATGTACCTCTGTAGGCCTTAATTATAATTAATAACCTTGAATTGCAAATCAAGGCATGTAATATTTTATGAAAACTTAAGCCAGATGTGTTCCATTTTGTTCTAAAAGATTATCATATGTGAAGTGATTGAAATAATTGTAATAGCCCTGAGGTGCAGTAAAGTTCTACTGGTAATTAATTCAAAGAGTAAGTGTTACTTACTACAGGCTCATAAGTGACTTTTTACCATAAAGCTTTTGTGTAAGTAGATAAAATTATACCCAGAGGGGCCCTTTGCCCAGCAAAAAGCAGGGGCGGATCCAGAGCTATTTTCTGACAGTCTTCCAAATTATCTTTGTTGATTCATCTTCCAATTTTGACCGTCTTCCAACAGAAAAAATTAGATACCTGTCAATTAAAACTTGAAAATCTGACCGTCTTCCGGAAGACCCAGAAGACGGCCTAAATCTGCCCCTGAAAAGGGTGTTCTAATGAACCCCCCTGGCTACAGGCCTGTACTACTTAATTACTGAGCAGAATTATAACTTATTATATTTCAATTACAATGCAATTAACAAATTGATATGTTTTTTGTCCAATAGTTGATGGTGATTGGTCATTGTGGACTGACTGGACTCCATGCTCAGTGACATGCGGGACAGGCAGCCATACAAGGTCGCGAGAGTGTGTGGCACCACGACCACGTTTTGGTGGCCGGCCATGCACTGGCAACGACACTGATGTACTCTCTTGTTATGTGGATATAGCATGTCCAGGTATTGAAAAATACTTAATTTTTTTTAAAAGTTTGACATGGGGTAAACACACACCCACACACACACACACACACACACACACACACACACATGCACACGACACAAACAGATCTCTTGGTTGGATGAATGCATGAAAGATAAAACTGTATATAAACAGTTTGCAGAACAAGATTTCCTTAACTTTTAAGTGAAAATGCCCATATTTGCCTCTCACCCATTTGAACATGGATGGATGGAAGGAAATTTACCATTAATGTGTTAGGGCAATATACAGAGTCAATGGGGATGGAAATTGGAGCTGACATGTACATGTATTTGTTCCAAAAGTAACCTCTAAGGCAGCATGATCATAATTATAAGAATTGTTTAAATTTATCAAACACCAAATATATATTTTAATATCTTTTGATTATTATAGATTAATTTTGTAACTTTTATGTCCATGGACTTTCAATCAACATTTTAAAAGGTATATATTGAACAAAACAATGTTTCAAGAAAATTTATTTATTCATTAAAAAAAATTATTCATTTTATTACCTTTCGTTTTCCATCAGTTAATGGTGGCTGGTCGTCGTGGTCCTCCTGGAGTACGTGTGAGGCTCCACCGTGTAGTGGTATCAGAGGGGTGCAGCTCAGATTCCGAGCTTGTAACAACCCCAGCCCCAAACTGGGCGGCCTTAACTGTATAGGAGATGCTACTGAACAAAGGAAGTGTCACAACAATATAACATGCCCAAGTAAGTACTTATACTGTACAGTCTGACATGTACTATACATGCAGTTGACTCTTCACAACTCGGACACAGTCCTGCACCATGCTGTTCTTGATCTTCCCTCTTTTCTCTTTNTGGCATGTAAATTTAATTTATTTGTGTTGTGTTGGAAACTCTTGCCATATGCACTTATATGGCGTATGAAAACACTTTTTGACATACTTTAAAATGATCCAACCTTTCAACTAGGATGAGGAACCACTTAACTCCTCTACATCTTCTGTGGTAGTACATGTATGTAACTGATCACAAGTCAACCTAGCTACTTGGCTACCCAAGTGCTTTGTACATACCATTCCAGGTTACATTACCATTATTTTCATATTTTTAGAATGGGCCGAATGGGGAGAGTGGGGCAAGTGCAGTAAGTCTTGTGGAGCTGGAGCCAAGCAGAGAACACGGCTATGTCCTGCAGGTGGCTGCCCCGGCACTCCAGACCAGATGAGACCTTGTATGGACAGACAGTATTGTCCAGGTCAGTATGGGGTATTGTCCAGGTTAGTATGGACAGACAGTATTGTCCAGAATAGTATAGACAGACAGTATTGTCCAGAATAGTATAGACAGACAGTATTGTCAAGGTTAGTATGGGAAGGCAGTATTGTCCCGGTTAGTATGGACAGGTAGTATTGTCCCGGTTAGTATGGACAGGTAGTATTGTCCCGGTTAGTATGGACAGGCAGTATTGTCCAGGTTAGTATGGACAGACAGCATTGTCCAGTCAGTATGGACAGGAAGTATTGATTTGTCCCCTGGGAGCCTTTCCACTTTGTTTTGAGTGCAATAGAATGTACTAAAAAGTATATTATCCCCTAGCTGCTCAAGGAGGCATGCTATTCAATTAATCTAATTGCATTCAGCAAGAGTGTCAGCAGAGTTGGATCAATTTACCTAGTTTGATAGTTTCATTGGGGACACACCCATACAGGGGCGGATCCAGACATATTTTCTGACAGTCTTCCAGATTTTCTTTGTTAATTCGTCCTTAATTTTTGACCGTCTTCCGACAGAAAATATTAGATACCCGTCAATGTAAACTTAAAAATCTGACCGTCTTCCGGAAGACCCAGAAGACGGCCTAAATCCGCCCCTGCCCATAGGCCCTACATGTTTTATTCCAGTTGATGGAGGTTTTGGTCCTTGGCATCCCTGGGAGTCCTGCTCTGCTAGCTGTAATGGTGGAATTCAGAGAAGACAGAGGTTCTGTAACAGCCCCAGGCCGGAGCATGGAGGCAAGGACTGCGTGGGTAACACTACACAGAGTCAAGTCTGTAAGACACAGCCTTGTCCAGGTAGGACATGTTGGGTTCAAAACAGGCATGCATGTGTGTGTGCATGTTGTTTGTGCATGTGCATTGTTTCTGGACTGTTTGAGATACATGTATTCATGAATTATCTTTAAGATTCAACTTCCTATTGGCAATAAATAAATTAATAAATAAGAAAGAAGGAAAATAAATGGAATCCATAATTGAAACTCTCCTAGGTGCCTTGATAATATAAAAGATTTAGAATTTCACAGCAAAAATGCACATTATCTGTCCAAGCAACCTTTCCCAAGAAAATAAACCATGATTTGTATTTACATTCTATCACTGTGTCATTGCTTCAGTTGATGGTGGTTGGGGTGCCTGGTCAGGCTACAGCACCTGCAGTAAGACATGTGGTAATGGCAGACTAGTACGAAGCCGAGAGTGCAACAACCCAGCGCCACAACATGGCGGCCAGGAATGTACAGGGATGCACAAACAAAAGAAACGATGCACACTTAAGAAGTGCCCAAGTAGGTGATCACGGAATTATTAACTTCAAACTGAATAATGTTTATGATTATACAGTCATATAATAAATTGGTTAAATTAATTTTTAATGTGTCTCTTTTCTGAGCTACCCCATAAATTATGTACCTCTGTAGGCCTTAATTATAATTAATAACCTTGAATTGCAAATCAAGGCATGTAATATTTTATGAAAACTTAAGCCAGATGTGTTCCATTTTGTTCTAAAAGATTATCATATGTGAAGTGATTGAAATAATTGTAATAGCCCTGAGGTGCAGTAAAGTTCTACTGGTAATTAATTCAAAGAGTAAGTGTTACTTAATTACTACAGGCTCATAAGTGACTTTTTACCATAAAGCTTTTGTGTAAGTAGATAAAATTATACCCAGAGGGGCCCTTTGCCCAGCAAAAAGCAGGGGCGGATCCAGAGCTATTTTCTGACAGTCTTCCAAATTATCTTTGTTGATTCATCTTCCAATTTTGACCGTCTTCCAACAGAAAAAATTAGATACCTGTCAATGAAAACTTGAAAATCTGACCATCTTCCGGAAGACCCAGAAGACGGCCTAAATCCGCCCCTGAAAAGGGTGTTCTAATGAACCCCCCTGGCTACAGGCCTGTACTACTTAATTACTGAGCAGAATTATAACTTGTTATATTTCAATTTCAATGCAATTAACAAATTGATATGTTTTTTGTCCAATAGTTGATGGTGATTGGTCATTGTGGACTGACTGGACTCCATGCTCAGTGACATGCGGGACAGGCAGCCACACAAGGTCGCGAGAGTGTGTGGCACCACGACCACGTTTTGGTGGCCGGCCATGCACTGGCAACGACACTGATGTACTCTCTTGTTATGTGGATATAGCATGTCCAGGTATTGAAAAATACTTAATTTTTTTTTAAGTTTGACATGGGGTAAACACACACACACACACACACACACACACACATGCACACGACACAAACAGATCTCTTGGTTGGATGAATGCATGAAAGATAAAACTGTATATAAACAGTTTGCAGAACAAGATTTCCTTAACTTTTAAGTGAAAATGCCCATATTTGCCTCTCACCCATTTGAACATGGATGGATGGATGGAAATATACCATTAATGTGTTAGGGCAATATACAGAGTCAATGGGGATGGAAATGGGAGCTGACATGTACATGTATTTGTTCCAAAAGTAACCTCTAAGGCAGCATGATCATAATTATAAGAATTGTTTAAATTTATCAAACACCAAATATATATTTTAATATCTTTTGATTATTATAGATTAATTTTGTAACTTTTATGTCCATGGACTTTCAATCAACATTTTAAAAGGTATATATTGAACAAAACAATGTTTCAAGAAAATTTATTTATTCATTAAAAAAAATTATTTATTTTATTACCTTTCGTTTTCCATCAGTTAATGGTGGCTGGTCGTCGTGGTCCTCCTGGAGTACATGTGAGGCTCCACCGTGTAGTGGTATCAGAGGGGTGCAGCTCAGATTCCGAGCTTGTAACAACCCCAGCCCCAAACTGGGCGGCCTTAACTGTATAGGAGATGCTACTGAACAAAGGAAGTGTCACAACAATATAACATGCCCAAGTAAGTACTTATACTGTACAGTCTGACATGTACTATACATGCAGTTGACTCTTCACAACTCGGACACAGTTCTGCACCATGCTGTTCTTGATCTTCCCTCTTTTCTCTTTACCCAAAACATACGTAATGTGTGTGTTTCTGTATTTCAGGTCATGGTGACTGGTGTTCGTGGGCGGAGTGGGGGGTGTGTTCCCAGTCCTGTGGGAGTGGCTACAAGGCAAGGTTCAGGAACTGCTCCTGTCCAGAACCACAGAACAATGGCAATGACTGCATAGGTGATTTGTTATAAAATGATACATTTTGTTAATTTGTAATAGTTATGTATTTAATGAGAGAGTGACTGTTCTGATTCATACAGGTTTATCTTTTATATATCAGTTAATATATGTTTTCATTTTCACCTTGTCACTCTCTTTGTAATTTTTAAGAATTGTGAAACGTAAATGATTGATAATTAAATTAATATGATTAACGTTTGTAGAAAAAAAGTTAGACTATATATATTTTACTTCATCAATGTTTCCACAATATTGGGTGTATAACTAATATAGCATTTTAATTTAACCTACTTCTTAAAGTATTGTGCTCATCTTTTCAAAATAATTTATTTTTAGGAAGCAACTATGAAATTGTAGCTTGTAAAAGCCTCTTGTGTGGTAAATCAGTACCAGACACTCAAATAAGACAAAGAAAAGGTAAGATCTGAGAGCCATAATTATAACTATAATGTTTTTGATATTTAAATATCTTTTTCACATTTAATAATTCTGGCATGCAGTGTATATGATAGGCTGAATAAAAATGTTGATGTTACTGCATGGGCATGTTTCTATTTTCTTACTCCAGGATGTTCCACTAGAGGTCACTCTGAGGGGTCAGGGTCAGGAGGAGGCTGGAATTCAGATGGGAGCGAAGTGGAGTGCGATCAGGTTAGTGGTCCATGGGAATTTTTTATTTCCTATTAATAATTTTCGTCATTTGTTTGTTTGTTTGTTTAGTCTTTCTTTAACTGTTTTAATCATACATACACCTTTGTATTTATTTGTTTGTTTGTTTGTTTGTTTATCANAATTAAAAATCATATCATATAACAGAAATCATTACTGCACTCCCCACATTCAATCACAACACTTAAATGATGTCCTACCCCCCTTCCCACATTTTTCCCATACAATTACGCTTACTCCAGCTGGTGGTACAATACCAGGAGGCGGTATCGCCTCTCTGATCCTCTAGTTTATTTAATATTTATTTGTCTATTCCCTTTCAATAATTAAATTCTTCATTCTTTCAATACTGGCCATGTATACTTGTAGTGATTTTAAGGTGTTTTTTTAGTGGTTATTTCTAAAAGACTATAACTACTTACATCGGATACAACAATCAGTTCTAAATATTGTTTTTCTTGAAATATGTTAACCTTGAAATTGTTAATTATTTTTTTGTCAATTCCAGGAGGATGACTCAGTTATGAATGATGATGATGAAGTCGGGAGCAGTCAGGGTAGCGGCTACGACAAGTTCTACGAATATCCCTACGGATTCTTTAACTTCAATCATCTTTATCACTACAAGAAGTATAACAGTTATGATAAAGAATACTCTTCAAAAGACAAAAACTGACAGAACAAGTTTTGTGTAAATGTATTTATGCGTAAATCAGAAGGGATGGTTTTAAACCATTATGACATTATTGTGAAAAGGATGCTCAAAACATCATAAGATTAAATTATGGGAGCTATGTACAAATAGATTCCAATATCTGTCCTTCCAATCCAGGAAATCTTCTACTTGCATACTTTTGAACATAAATTCTTTTATTGTACATGTTATTTTTAAATTATTGTTGTTATGAACATGATGATACCCAGTATAAAGAACTGCTCATATTATGAACATTATAATTGGAGATCTCGCTTACCTGTCAAACATAGCCACATCATAAGAACTACATATTACAATGAATATTACAGAAGAGACTTCCAAGACTTTTAATTATATACTCAAATGGCTTCTCTCAGTCAGGAGCAATCTCTTATACTATACATTTGTCCATGCAGACCCAAAGGAATTCAAACAAATTTTAATTGTAGGGAGAACTTAATTACCACTAAGTTAAAAAAAGGGAAAGGGGAAATCCCTCTTAACCCCCCCCCCCCAATCTGTCCCCCCTTTTTGTGTTTAAAGACAGATGCTGCTAAAAAAAGTTTTAAAGTGGAAGAAGCTCAAGCCCTCATTTCCTCTAGGGTCTGTGACTATGGAATAAAGAACATGATGAAAAGAATAAGCCTTGTTAGGGGCATGGTTGAGCTAGCTGACAGCTCAGCACAGCGTGTGTGCACTATTGTGCAGTTGTGATGGAAGAAATAAAAAATAAGATTGAATTATTTTTGGTTCACGAGTATCGCTGAGTAGTGTGTTTATAACTGGTAAGATTTGGTGTCAGATTCAGTGATGATATTGAATGACTCTACGTACCTAGAATATTGTGAAGATTTGTCAACATTGTTGTGAAATGATTTTGGTATTTGTGATTGATAGGATAAACTTAAAACAATGAGGTGATGCTTACACTAGTAATGTTAATAATTTTTCTCATTTCAAATTGGTTTGAAATGAATGTTAATGACTTAATTCCAAAAACATGTACTTGTGGAATGTGTATGTAAGATCATTTCATTAATTGTAACTGTTTTTTTCTCAGAATGTTCAAGCAGTGATCATTCTCAGCTAATAAAAGTTGAAATAATTATATGTCTGAACTGTAGGAGTAAAAAGTATCACTTGAAATAAATATTGTCCCTATATATTTGAGCATTTCAAGTTAACATAAATGATTTCTTTGAAAAAAAAAGTACTTGTGGCACCAATTAAAATATGTTACCCCCCCCCCCCACGTGTACTTGAAAAAAAAGGCTTAACCAAGCATTTCACATTGCTGTGCCCCTCATTACTCTGTTTTGCACCTGTCTTTATCCTTATGCAACTACAATGCAACAGTAGGCAACAATTCTGTGGCATCTTTAATAGTGTGTGTGTGTGTGTGCGTGTGTTTGTACATGGAGGGGGAGGGGTTAGGTTGAATTAAAGGTGCTTGGGCTACTCCTTTGCCATACGTAAGCAAGTGTCTGGTTACTAGAATTGTTAGCCCTAGAAAACTGGGGATATTTTATACTAAGATCTAATAAACGGATATATTATGGTATATTAGATCTTAGTTTTATACAACTACTTTCATTATACACCAGGGAAATTAAAATTCAAATGTAAATAAAACTTTTACAGGGCCACAGTCCAATTTAGTGCAAATTGACATAAATTTAGTTCTTTGATATCAGATTCGGTATTGTCATCATTACTGGTGGGGTTTGCGCCAATATTATTTTGAAAAAAAAAGAGAGAGGAGGTCGCCTGTCATCACCGTTTGCCAGTGGATCAGTTTTCTGCGATTGCAGTAGGTGAGATTTTTTGCAAGTAGCCATTCAACGCAGCGCTTACATACACGTCATTTCTAAAAACAAACACCCGATCTGATTGGACCAAAGACACATGGAGTCGTCCCTGTAGGAAGCGCGACAATGTTTTGGAACAAAATCTTGCACGAATGTCATTTGAAATGGAGAATTTGTTCGACAAACTGATACAGAGCGGCTCCATTGGATCCGATGGCATTGCTGACAATCAGCACACGGACAAGACCGCCTCTGTCCTGGGGAAAACCCCACCGAAAAAAGAGGAAGAGGACTCTGTTGCTCCTAGCCCTGTTGTGTCACGTAGGGGGTCCTCGATAGACAGTGATTTGGCTACAGACGATATAGATGGCCTGAAGAAATTCACTATCCCGAAGCAAAATAAGAAAGGTAAGCTTATTTATCGTTTTTGAAGTGCCATGGCGTTGCTTTCATTTTTTTATTCAACGCACGAGTGGTACTAAACAACGCACTTGTGGTTGTCGTGCAAGTACTGTGCATTTTGTGCATTGCCTCAATCAAGGGTCTTTTCCGGTGAATGAACCAGGATCAAGTCTTGAATTACCAGAATCAACAACAAAAGCATTTATTCATATCCATTCTATTATTCTCCCGTGTTCCTATCAAAAAGTGCAGTACTTTGGGCACAAAGGTCAAGCACTGAACCCTGAGAATATCCATATATATTCCACTGGCAGGCAACTTCACTATGTGTTATTAAAATGCTAGTAATACTATTTAAAGTTTTGTCCACTGATCTGTTTAAAATAATCCTAAAACAAGACAATTTTATGTGCAAGTATTTTTATAATAATCAGTATGTGCAGCCCATTGTTTTTCTTTCCTAGAGATTGTTCTTCTACTGGTTATAAACCGTTTAAGAGAAACTGTTGTTAGCGACCGCTAATATTTTTTTAAGCTTGATTTTTGGAAACAAATGCTGAGCTTGTAGTCCTCCAAAGTTTTTGCATAGAGAAGTTTGAAAGTGCTCTTCTTTCAATTGGTTGTTTATAAGATAACCCAAATTGTATGACTTCATATGAATGCATTTTAATGAATCTGTGTCGGCAGCCTTATTATACCCTAGGTTCTAGATTCCGGTATTGCCAGCTCGATCTTAATTTCATATATAACCCATAGTAGCAATACCAGACTCTAGCGAACAGTGGCAACTCGGGGGCGTTCTTCTTCAAAATTCTGCCTGGGGCGCTTCCATATTTGGAAGTCACACGTCACAGCTGTGTCTGCCTGGATCCATATTTGGAAGTCATAAGTCTTGTACATCACAGGTTTGGCTGCCTGGAGCTGCCTTTCCCGCCTTGTGCTGAAGTCTCGTGCAGGCGAGACAAGAAGCAATTAAAGTGCCTGACGCGGAGTTAGATGTTTGAAATGAAAATATCTTGCAGTCGAAGGTCAGTGCCACAATACAAGCAACATTCTGCTGTAAAAACTTATTTTCGTGTAGCCATTGCGCAGCCCTTATAGTGGTATCGGGCATACAGTGTAGCTGTCAAATTTGGCACACGGCAAGCACATGTATTGTGCACGTGTATATCTCAGGACTAAATGTTCTTTGATAAGCAAAAAATACAAAAACATTGGATATATCTTTTCTTTCCAAGAATATTATTTATTTTTTCACCTTACATCTTAAATACAGCAGACAAAATTAAATAAAGCAGAATTAAATTTGTTTTACGTTTTATTTTGGTCTGATGACATTCAACTGCATTTTCACTGCGGAGCAGTTCTATTTGATTGATGGAAAACTTTCATGGCCGCTGGTCTTCAGAGTTAGTAAAAGCGACTCCACCACAAGGTATATTTAGCAAGCTTGCTTTTACGTTGCTCTGACGCTCAGGGTACCTTTTTAGTACAGGGGCGAAAATTGCCATTTTGATAAACTGAATAATTTAAATAAAAATATATCAATTCTCTAACTTCAGTTCCCCATGGATTATCTGGATCTGAGTTGAAGATGGATTTCTAGCTGACAATGTGAAATTTTATTATCATTTTTAACAAAAGAGATTCACTTATAAAACTGTAAACTGTCATATAGGGGTAGGTCTTTGTTTGACCGAACCATCACTTAATCATTTACTAGAAATGCAGCCCTTATAGTTTCAATTTGCTTTTCAAATTTTGCATGCATGTACCAGTAGCAACTACTATAGTCCTATTGTGAACAGCATTGAGTGCTTAAGGCAAATTATTTTTGTTTTTATCATCAGTGCATTAACCATATGATTATATTTCTAATTATATGTGTTCCTTTGTCAAAAAGGGAATTTATGGGTGTATTTTTTGCCAATTATAGATTTATCCAGCTCAGTTGTATGCTGTTCTTTTTTTATCTCTTCCACCAAAGGAGGTCATTTAGTACTTTTTTATCAGTGTTGATGTAATAGTTACAAGATATTTTTAAAAGTGAATCACTATCGTTGATTGAGGTAATGTTCACATTTCTTCAAGAGATAAAAAAAAAAAATGTGTACATTTTTGAATGATCGCGGGCTAAAGGTTTTAGCAAGATTTTAAAAACTTAATTTCATTATTAGTAAGTTACGTTTTACCTTCAGGTTGATGAAAATCTGCGCTGTCAAGATGCTCTTTGTAAAAAATTTTTTTCTAAGGTATTTTCTGTCTGTTTGCATTGTCAGTAAAGGTCTAAATATCTGTAATCAGATAAGGTAAGAGCATTGTTACTTTTCAATTTCCTCATTTACATCACCTCGTGTGTATTATCAAGGTTTTTTTCAGCATGTATCTGCAGCCAGACTATAATTTCTCTTTGTCACTGTCTGTTACAGTTGTGCTTGTCTTTTTGGGTGTCAAATATCATATTAGTAACTTACAGAGAAAAGTCATACTGACATTGCACTTGTCACATAATGATATATATGAGTTGTGGGCTTCAAGGGACCATTTTTTTGTAGCTATTGCTATTTTCAGCCATTAGACTTATACTTTGAAATGGAGATTGAGATGGTTATGTAGCAGTAATAAATAAACTTCTATAAACTGAAACCAGTTGTGGACTTTACAATTAACTTCCCCCAGAAATATATACGAGCAAGCTTAATTTTTCCATGTAACACAGTCAGTGTAGTTAAAATTATTGATAGTCTCATGTAATTGTATGGGTTAAATTTTTCAGGATTATGCTTTATTTGCAGATTTTAGTTTTCATTCTGATCATTTTCTAAATGCGATGAAAAATGGCAAGGAACGTTTTCAGGATTTTCAGTTTATACATAATTCAGCCATAGAACTGAGTGGTTAATGATGGATTTTCTGTCTTGCAGGTCTCCTAGAAGTAGTTGACCTCGGCTCCAGAGAATATCTCCAAGACCTCTATCCACTGATACAGAGGAGTTTTAGGGATCCCGCAGCAGAGAAGAATTTTAAATTCACCAAAGCATGGCTGGTTCACAATAAATTATTACAGAAGGTGGTGGGTATTTAAAAAAATATGAGGTTTTATATTTTACAGAAGAAACAGTGGATCAAAGCTTTGGGTGTTGAACAGTAATGTTGATACCATAGAAGAAAATAAGTACAATAAAGCTTTGGGTGTCTAAGGATAATTAAATATGATGTTTAAGGGAAGTATTAGTGTGGAAAACTTTTACAAGCATGTGCCTGCTTTGTGGAAGAGAAAGGTGCGGTAGATGCCACCTTCCCCTCTTTTGCTTTAGGATATGATGAGCAATAGAAAACCTGTTTGCTGTCATGAGTGTGTCATTCTGAAGACACGTGCCTAACGATATGGGATCGTCTGGGGCTGCGTGAAATCAAAGGCCCATTCCCACAACCCAATCTTGCTAGCTGGATCGATCTAACTTGGCAGGGATTCTTGCTAATTTGTATGCAGTGTCTTCGGCTTCTATCAATATCTTGCACACCTACTCAGGGGCGTGCCAGACACTTAAGCTGATTACACTAAAAGCCCCACAGAGTAGGATCAATCCAGTTAGTACAATGGGTTTATGGGAACGCAGTCTAAGAATAGGTTTCACCTAGGCTGGATAGTTCAATCCTAAGGAAATCCGAAGGATAACATTTATTGTTGTTCTCTTGACAGTCATACTTTGGTAAAGTAACATTTCCCAAAGGCCTGGTTTTTATTTTTGTCTCGGATATTGCTATCCACTTGTTAATAGTTGCTGTTATCCTTAGGATAACAGTCTAGAGGATAGCAATTTTTTTCTAATTAGCATTATCCGTGGGATAGCAGTATCCAGTATTGATAAAACTGGACCAGGTGTTTAGCCATTATTTTGATATAGGATGTCCAGGTTAATTTTCACACTAAGGCAGGCTGTACTGTATAGGTTCCATATGATCTAATAATTAAATCTGAAAAGTTGAATGTTTGAAATTAAAACAAGGAGTCTAGAAGACAGTTGGGCTGTTGCCTGGCCAGCACTCCTGCTCCCCCCTCTCCCCCCTTAACCCCCCCCCCCTTAACAAGTGTCTGTCATCCTAAAAATGCAGCTTTTCTTCACCAACTTCATTTCCCCTGAACATGATAATTAAAATGTATTCAGAACTATATGTTTAATGTTGGCATAATGATCCCACATTTTTAAAGGGATGACGATTTGAAGAAAACGTGTCATGTAAATTTAATGCACTTTGTAGGCAGACAAAGGAATAAATCATCAACCACCAGGAGAGTGGAGGAAAAAAAAATCAATCTATTTACTATATTAGAACGAGCCTCATTATAATTGTAAGACTCACAATGCAGGTATTGGCTATATTGATTGTTAGCTAGTAGAAATGCCTGGATTTGCCTACAGACCATTAAAATATATGGTACATTGTTAAGGTGCTGGTTTTTAAAAAAAAAAGTTTTCGGAGGAACCTAACTATCACAGTTCATCACACTTAAAGTGGAGGCTAACACATAAATATTAATTGTAAGATAGAGAAATAATTTATTTTGGCCAATTTAACATTTATATGGTTAAAGATTTGTTGTTTGGCAAAGTTTTTTAAACAGAACAGAAGTGGCTAATAGATACTTTGTGAAATTTGTTGAAAAATCTTTACAGACAGGAACATATACTATAGATATTAAACCATGATGTGACTTATTCATTGTTATAGTTTTGTGTAGACATAAAGAAATCAATTTGTTTTTACTAGTATATCCTTGTGCATGAAAAGGAGAGGTTTACTGAAAAAAAATGGTATAACATGGTGAAACGGAGGGTTTGAAATTATATATATATATATATATACATACATATATACATACATATATACATACATACATATATACACACATACATACATACATATATACATATATGCAAAATGTTTGTAAACACTATGCATGCACGCATGCACAAACAGACACACAGTCAATTACACTCACAAACTTACGCAAAAACACAGTGACACACATGCACACACACACACATACATACACAGTGAAATATGCATGCACAAACACACACACACACACACACATGCGCACACGCACTTTGAATGAACTAAAGTAGACCAAATTTTTGGTCAGAAATTTCAGACAGAGATCTGGCCAGAATTCTTCCATAGCACAGACCCCGGGTCTACTTATTTGTTGCATGTGGAGAAAATACTGGGGTCATCTGAAGTTGAGATGTGACACCTTTATATATCATGTTAAGACTATGATGTTGAATATAATCCGTAATCAAGAGTGTGATTCTTAATACGGAATTCTTATATTCTTCATACCACCCTGTACTAATTAGTTTCCTGCAAATGTTGTTTATTAGACATCTGCTGAAGTAATTAGTGCATTCATAAGGTTACCAAGTATTAGATTTGTTGTGGATTACTATTGACAGTTTGAAAACCAATGGGCGATTCAAAGGAAAGTTACTCTAATTAACCATACATAGGTAAAGAAATATTGGATTTTTTTTAACAGAATATGTAGACAATTATGATATTATAAAGTATTACATTTGTTGTACATAGCTACTGACTATTTAGAAACAGAAAACAAGTGAAGGATGATTTATAAGTGAAATTAACCACCAGTAAAAATGTTGGTAGAACCTTTTCTGAAAACTGAAGGATTATTAGACGAGACGAGTTGCAAAAGTGATCATTTTCTCTTTAGGCATTTTATTTCACCCAGTGTGTGTGTGTGTGTGTGTGTGTGTGTGTGTGTGTGTGTGTGTGTGTGTGTGTGTGTGTGTGTGTGTGTGTGTGTGTGTGTGTGTGTGTGTGAGAGAGAGAGAGAATAGAAATGGCCTCCTATTTTTTTTTTACTGTGGGATCATTGATGACAGTGCTCTGCATGGTTTAGTCACAAGTGTTATTCTCTGCTGGTATTTTATTTATTTTTATTTTTGTGATAGAGGCCATAGAGGTAGAGGCCATTTACTAGTAAGAGATTTTTCGTGTTTGTTTTTTGATATTATATAATTTGCAAGGCTTTGCTCTGAGCAATTTTATTTGATCTATTTTCATACTTTTTAAGAATCAGTGGTGATATTTATGATACTTGAAGGGTTTTATTTAATTGGAAGCTGATTACTTAAAAGAAAGAAAAAAGAGAAAAGAAATAAAGAAATGAATAAAAACTGTCTTATATATATTCTGTTTCAATTTGCAACACCAGGCATGGATATGCTTTTTAAGAATCATTCCTATCCTTTATTTTTGACATGTAGGTGAAAAAAATTCCAATAGTCAACAGAGTTTCGGTCTTTTTTTTTTTTCAGTTTTATGAGAAAAGGAAAGAGTTGACAGGACGTGAAGTACAAACCAGCTATGCCTTCTTGTGTAGTACGTCACAAAGTGAGGTGAGTGAAAACTGGAAGAGCGAGTGTCTTTTCCTATTTAAAATTACCTGGATCAGTGTCTTCTGAGAGAGAGAGAGAGAGAGAGAGAGAGTGTTTGTTTGTTTTCATGGGGGTTCACAAAATTTATTATGAAAGATGTTCAGATTAACATTTTACCCTAATTTGCTGATAACATCAGAACATATAAATGTGATTTTTATGCCACTTTTATAATGTAAGTGACTTAATTTGAAATGAATTATTTAATTTTGAAACAATCGATGAAGTAAAGTGTGTTGAAAAAAATGCACCTAGTATAATTTCCTTATGTAGTCTTGCAACTTACTTGGATAATGCATTTGTTAGGTAGTTATTTTTCAAGTATCAGTTATATTTTTGATGGTTTTGAATTAAATTTTTCAATTTGAAATTTCAAAAGAAAAAAGAAAGAAAAGAAAGATGCATTACAGAATTTTATGTCAGCAGATGTTTAATTTTTTAAACAACTGGCCCTCAAATATATGCATTTTGCATCTTTTCTAAGTGTAATGTTTTTAGATTGTAGGAATTAGTCAGTGCACTCACATTATTTTTATTACAGGTGAACAGAATATGCTCCCAGGGAGTTAACATTGGGAATTGCAGTACATCATGTTTGGGGAATCCAGAAATGGGTAAGTTCATTCTTCTATATTTAAACTGAAGCCAAGGGAAAGCACATATGAGCATTTGTGGAGTTTAAATATAACATAGAAACATGGGCAAGATGGAAACATTATCTCTACCTCTCTGAGGCCTAAAATGAAAAAAAAAGTGATAAATTTTTAGGCCCTTGAAAGTGATGCCCCCAACAGAAGCATGTACTAGTAAATAATATGCTTTTGAAGGAAAGAAATTAGAAACCCATGCCATACACATTTTAACACTATCAGAAAGTGTCATTTGAGATTGAAACAATAGACATTTAAACCGGTGACTAAATAAGAGTTGACTTTGTAGACGCTTGTTGGTATACACGTTGAACAGTCTTGACCTTTGAACTCCAATATTCTTAACCTTCTGGATATAGTCAATTAATAAAAGTCTTTTTAATCTAAAATTTGAATATTAATGACAATAATGATATTAATAGTTAGATGAACATTTCAATTTAAAAATGTGTACATCCATATGTTCTCTTGGCTGCTGTCATACTACACTGGATAAAAAGAAATGGATGGATAAGATTAGATTCAAGATATGTTGTATTTATATTACTTACTAAGAATTGAGCTTTAATCCTTATCCCAGAGTAGAACTCATTTCCTGTATATAATTGCCTATTATGAAGCTACTTTACTATTCTAGTTTGGAGTATTATATTTGAAGTATTATTTCTGGGGAAAAAAGGGAGATGGCTGTGATGACACAAAGAAGGATCTTTGTCCATTATATAGTGTAAATGTGACTGTGAACAATTTGAGTTCATAGTATCCTGGATACGTAGTACTACAGGAAATTGGGGGGGGGGGGGGGGGGGGGGGGGGTTCATCCTGGTGGTTGGTGGGGGTTGTTGTGTCAAGTCTTAGATGCAATTTAATGAAAGGTTTCCACAAAGAAAGTGAACATTTTGGTTTTGTTAGTGATGCAGATATTTTGTTTGTTAATATAAATTTTTGTTGTTTTTAATTACTGTTGATTTCTTGGAGGGCATTATTGAATAAAACAGTGAAAATAATGAGGGAAGTCAAAATAATACAAATGTTACACAAAATATGTCATTGATTTGACTCAGATGTATACTTTCTTTTGAAATGACATGAATAATGGCTGTTATATCTGGGGTGTAAGTTTTTTTCTGATTATTGGCAGAATTTCGACTTTTTGTGACCCAAAAATATCATTTTTGAGATGGATGCAGATCTGCAATAAAAAAGTAGAGAGGAGGAGAAGGAGGGCTGACCTTTTCACTGAATACAGACATAACTTTTTCCATGGAAAAGTGGAATTTCGCATTTTTTAATTCAATTCTGATGGTTCCTGAGATTCATCTTGTCTGAGATTTCATAAATGTTCATAGGTTAAAAAAAAAAAAAAAACCTAGGCTCATGTCTGTAAATAGCGCTCTCATCCCTGTTCATCTAAACAAACAGGCTCGTGACTCTGAAGAGGATTCCCAGTAATCAAGGGCTTATTTTTCATGACTCATTCTCAACCAGATCCTGGAGTTACAATGACACTTGTTGGGTCCAAATTAGAAGCAAAACGAAAGTGAGCCTCAGGTTCTGTGGAAACTGCACCTGCCAAAGAACACTTGAGAGCCATGCTGCGTGTTTCATAACCATGGAGACAATAGAAGTGTTGGCAAATTTCTGGTGTCAGGATGTCAATTAAGCTTGTTTAGTTGGCTTATTTTTGTCACGATAAATGTTGCTGACGTATTGATGTCTAATTAATTTCCTCAGGTGTCAGCCTCTGCCGTCACGCAGATATTGTTCGCCAGGTACCTATGCAGTTCGGATTCTCTGCAAAGCTAATTATATTTAAGATCATGAAGGTAATTTGCTTCTTACTGTTTCTTTCCTTTGTGAGAGAGTGTGTGCGTGTGTTTAATATCCTTGTTTTTTTGTTTTTTTTTGTGTTGGCTGCTAAGCATGAAATTATAGCAAACTGGTATTTTATCCATATTCTATTGTTTCATTTTGATCTTGTTTTTGTGATGTGTAAGTAAGAGTCTCTCTCTCTCTCTCTCTCTCTCTCTTTCTCTCTCTCTCTCTCTCTCTCTCTCTCTCACTTAAGTATTAACGCTCATGTTCTTTAAAAAAAAAAACAAAAAAAAAAAAAGAATTATTATGATAGAAAAATGATGTTGTCCACACAAGCCAGACAAGAATCCGGTATCCTTCTAACAGTCCTCTCTGTATGTCATATTTTTAAGATGCTTTTACCATAATATTTCCAGGGGAAAACCATGCGTATGTTGGAGAGTAGTGCTCACTTGGACCCCACCCCCAACTGTGACTGTCATGTCTCCAAGACAGCCAACTCCTTTAACTTGAGTGCAGTGACCATGCTGCAGGCCTTCCAGTCTACCCAGGTCCTTTTGTCAGACATTATTATTTTATTTATTTATTTATTTATTTTTATTTTTTTATTTTATTTTTGTGAGTGCGTGTTTGTTTTGTGGTGCTTTTCTTTTGTGTGTTTTTTGTCTGATTTTTATTTTTTGGTGGTTTGTTGCCTATCACAACCTCTAAACTGTAGGTCATAAGGCCACTTAGTTGTTTCTTTGAATTCTTTTTTTCCTTACATCACAAAATCCTGTTTTTTTGTTTAATAATAAGTTCATATAATGTTATTAGTCAGTTGCATAAGTATATTTGATCATTTGTATCCAGCAAGTTACCAATAGTTCCTGTCAGTGTTTTTTATGTGCACAGCACTATGCCAGATCAACTTAGAAGAAATGCCTAATTTCCTAGTGCGGTTTCTTCAGCATAATCCTTCATCCGCCTGTGTAATATTGATGTGTTAAGCTCCCTTGGCTTGTTTGCTCAACACTTTTAGAGGGCTTTCAGAACAAGTTGATCCGTGGTCTAACAGGTCCATGGATCAGATATGGCAGACCCACTTGAAAGCTTGCTGCTTAATCCCCTAATATACACTGAATAGATTCCCTGCAGGGATTACGTGGTAAGCTTTCAAGTGGGCCAGCCATATTTTATCCGTGGATGAACTTCGGTTGTGAATATGGCCTCAGCTATGAAGAGGCATGGTGTTAAGTCTTAATAACAGCTTAAATGTAATCCAGGGTTTTTAGATTTAGTGTAATCTGTAATGGGAGAGGTAAAACAAGGTTGAATAGAAAAGGAAAAAAACCTGTCTAGATTATGTATTAGTGTACATTTCATAAGGAAATAGTTTTGCAAGGATAAGGGACAGAAATATTATGGGTGTTCAAGGGGTTAGCCAGTGAGCTGTCCAGCCATCATTTGGACAGCCTCTTCCAGCAGAGGACAACTAATTTTGCAGCTGGAAGGCTTGATAAAATTCAAACAGCTGGAAGACTTGTTAAAAAAATAGATTTATAAAACAGATGCCGAAAAATGTGATCTAATATTAAGGGTTACGGTAAAGTCTTGAAAATTTCGTCGCTTAAAAATTAATTAATATTTTTAATTGTGTAAATCCGACTAATTTTTCAAAATTACCTCTCCCCGACTCCTGGGTATGACGAAATTTTCAAAAATCCGGTCTTTGGGCTTTTATCCTTAGCGACTGTTATCTTTGACCCTCCCATATTGTGGGATATTTATTACTACTTCTTAAGTCATTTTCTGGTGGTAAATAATAATCTATTTATTAGTGCATCTCGATTAAGTTATATTTAACTTACTGTACCCGAAAACATGTTGAGAATTATTTTCTCGGTAAGAAACATACCTCCTGATAGAGGAGAAGGATCAAGATAAGCCTAATTGCAACCTTGCATCATAACCTGGACGCGACATGTTAAAAAAAATTACGCACTTGGGAACGTTTGTTGCATGCAGGGCTTTTCCCAGGATTGAGCGTCAGGCCTTCTAAAATTAACATCTGTAACTTCCTTAAAATTTACTGGGAGTTAAAATAATGATCTCCCGTTGACGATCTTCCGAAATTTAAGTTCCTTGAACTAATATGAAAACTGCATTTTATTATTGCTTACATCGCGAACAATCTCCCGATGAAGATGTGAAAATTGCCTTTTCGTCTAGCAAGGATCGCGAACGATCTCCCTCTGATATGATCTTACGCGAACAAAGTCCTGAGAATATTACGCGAACGATTCTCCGCCGAAGATATACCGTGAGCAGGGCAGGGGGCGGATTAAAGATAAAA